CCCCCCCCCCCCCCTAACCCCGAAAGTCAACATTCCCGATCGTCACTTGAAATCACATTCCTATTAAAAATAGTGGCCTATCTGTTTTTTATCCCTTCGGATGTCCCGGTAGCAATAGGGCTGTCCTCAAACGTTTCCTCGTTGTCAATATATATTCGTGTGCCTCCTGAAAGAACGGTCCGGCCACGTTCCGAGTACCACTTTGCAAAGCTACCGTCTCCTGTGTTGTGTACCCTGCACCGAATGTTGTCATTGCAACTCGTAGGAAGAAGTGAAAGTAGCAAAAGCTGTGAAAAGTGGTGCGGCGTAGAGGGTGCGCTTGCGAATTCCTCAATCTCCCATGAGCTGTCCCCGTCTTGTTCCCGGTCTTCGTGCCGAACCCGAAGAACTTTCGATACTTCCCATTCTCTGAACGCCGGTTGAAAGAACGGTAGCCACGGAACGCGTGTCCGGGCGCGTCGCCTAGTCGGTGATCGAGATCTGAGCAAATCCTATTAATGCCTTGTCGTCGGGCACTTCGTTGGCCGCGTAACCAGAATTCTGTGAAACATACGATCATCGTGAATCGACAAGCTGCATAACAACCCTAGGCACTTCCAGAAATCAGACTGTACGTTGGCAGGGAAACGTGAGCAGCCTGGGAAGTGCGAAAAGTTGAAATTGAATTGAGGGCGAGACTGACCAGCGAAAATGTAACTGTCCGCAACTGGCCGGCGCTGTCTATAAGTTTCTGGAGATTAGCTGCTATGACGACAATGTCCTTGCCGTCCACCAAGCCTGCCCCAACCAACTCCGCCGCGATCCCTTCAGCGGAGTCCACGCCAACGGCGAATTCGAATCTAATGTCGTTGAGTTCCCGTTTCTGGTTTCTGAAAGATGCAACGGGATTCTCCAAAAATTATTCGAATTACCGTACCTAGGATTAGAGGATAGACAGGAGATGGAGGGGACGCGTACTCAGGCCTGTCTTCCATAGTGAAGTAGGTCTCGGGTCGTCTGGAATGTAGGGAATCGGGTTGTAATTGGAGATTTTAATTTGACCAAAGCACCACGTACCGTAATCTCAGCACCAAGTTTATGGGAACGTTCTGCTCGGTGTGTTGGATGACCAGCTGACTGGGCGCCAGCTTCACGATTCCATACTCCTCCTCTTCTGGCTCCTCGTCGCTGCTCGGGTTGTCTATGGTGTTCACCGGCAGAGCCTCCTTGCCTTCGTCTCCGCTCGACGCTCCGCTCTCTTCCTCTTCGGAGGACCACACCCACTCCCCTGTGACCGTTCTGTGCAGGCGACCGGAAGTACCAGGCTGCCTCTTGGATGCTTTCTGCACCCGAGTCTCCAGGCTGGGTCCTATCGCTACCAAGGTCTGCTGTAGATACTTCTTGTCCTTCGCTTTCTTGAAGAACGGATGCTTCAGCAGCTCGGTCGCCGTCGGTCTCTTGGTCGGGTCCTTCTGCAGGCAATCTACGATCATCTTCCGGAATGTCTTGCCGTAGGCTTTGTATTGATCCTTGTCGTCCGCCGCGGTGTCCAGCGTCGGCGGATCGTTCTGCAGCGTCAACATCAGCACCTTCATCGGCGGGTACTTGTGGTACGGGGCTGTGCCACTGGCCATCTCGATGGCCGTGATGCCGAGTGACCAGATGTCTGCTTTAAAATCATAGCCATGGTCCTAAAAAGTTATGTGCATATCATAATTGATTTTACCAGTCATCTGTGGGACTGGAACGGCAATACTCAGATTAGAACGTGCGTCTTATTCGAGCATGCGTCACCTAAGCTGTTCTCGACTGTCATAGAAAGTCTTCGGCCACACGCGGCAACGTATCGCATAAATAAAATGTGTATATAAAACCGCTATATGTGTCGTTACAAAGTTACATGCTTGAACAAGACGTTACAACTGGACACACACTCGACGTACGCTTATTGCAATCGACGGACGGACAAAGGCTCTAAGAGTAAAAATCGCGAAACAAATGTTGAACCAGCAGCAAAAGAAACGATCGAAAAGAAGCCTCTACGTTCTAACGAATCTTTAGAGCCTAACAAACGCAAGACCAATATAGACACAAAAACGCAAGCTAAGAAATTGTAATGTTACTTTCCTCTCTCACCTGCTCCATGACCTCTGGTGCCATCCAGCACGGTGTCCCTACAAACGTATGTCTGACTTTCTGTCTACTCAGATCACGACCTGTCGCAAGCCAAGCACTGACCCCAAAATCAGCTATCTGTACCGTGCCATCTTCTCCTAGTAGGATATTACCGGCTTTTATGTCCCTAATATTATTCTGTCATTAAAATTCGTCTATGTATAGAAAAGAATTGAATTCATTTCCCAATAATATCTCTGGTACTCTTTTTAATGTACGAACGACAATTAGAAAAAGATCAGATGGAATCGAGGAAATGAGAAATTCAACTGCAACGGTACCTGTGTATCTGCCCGTTACTGTGAAAGTATTCCAGGCCTTTGAGCACCTCCCGTAATACCGTGGCTATCGTTGCTTCGTCGAACACGCCGTTTTTGCAGTTTGTCGTTCTCGTCTTGTGCTTGATTATGTCCAAAAGGGATCCACCCTCTAGCAACCTGAGGACCAGCCATAGTTCCTCTTTCACCACGAACGATGTGTAATACGTGACCACGTTCTCGTGGTTGCAGGACGACATCGCCTGAATTTCTTTCTATTAAGAACAGAAAACAACGGATCATTTTTTATTCATTTCAATCGCTTCGACCAGCCTTTTGTACTAATCCTCCCCAAAACGGTCCCGGTAATTGGGTCGTTGAACGAGTAGAAGAGCTGCTCTTATTCGTATCCTTGTTCAACGTTTCTATTTTTGATTTATGAAAGTGTTCCGATATATTTAAACGAATTTTTTTCATGAACACAGATACGAATATTATTCTAATTATACAAACTATTGCAGCGTTATCTTATCGAACAATGCCGGAGCGTTATCGCGGCGAACTCTCAGAATGTTTAATTCTCGGTATTCCACGGCTGATAATTTTGATAATCGCGCGTCGATGCGTTATCAGTCGACCCAAGTTTTTCGCCTCTTTTTCCCCATTTCGCGGCACGCCGTTCTTCCTCGACGAAAATTCACCACGGCCGTACTAACCAGCAGCTCGTCCATGCTCGTGTTCCATTTCTCCAGGTTTATTCTCTTTATCGCACATTTTTCCTGCCGTGGAATGCAGAATGCTGCGTGCACCACTGCGGTCGCTCCCACTCCTGAAATCGAGCGACAACAAGCATTACAATTGACGAATTTCGTTGAAAAAACCGGGAGAACGCGAGCGCAAAAATTTTGATGCCGCAAATTGAATCATCGTGCGCACTATGACGTCGTCGCACGTCATCGTCCGCACGACGTCGTTCACCCATGACGCGCATAACAAATCATACCGACGCGTTTCGTCGAATCATTTTTCGGAACCGCTTCGATCGAACACAGATCCCCGATTTCTCTGTTCAAAACACAAAAAGCTTCCGAGTGAATTTTCAAATCCGAGAATCAGCCGAATTTCCCGAACTTTTCTCTCAGAAAATTCGCCAATTCCACCCCCGCGACTCGCACCCTCTCCAGCCACGCGTTCCACCAAAATAATTCCCTCGCATCGCGACGATCTATTTTTTTTCGATCCGACTTTATTCCGACCTTAAATTTCAAACGAAGCTCCGACCGAGACAAAGCCCACGAGAGAGGTCCTGACGTGAATCCTATGGGGGCCACCCGCGGCCACCTTCGACCGCCGTTCGCGAGAACACGCCACCGGCTGCGTGCTTAATTAATCGCCCGGTCGTAGCGCCTCCCGTAACTTGTAAGACTTCGACCGTGCGACACACGGTATATCCCCGATAAATCCGCGCCTCGGGCTCGGCCCGACACCCGCCCTGCAGGACAACGACCGAACGCGAACGTACGACCGATTTGTTGTTGCGTCCGCAGGAGAGCCGCGTTATCGGGGCCGCCGAGCATCGCGAACGTTATTATCGGCTGGTTACTCGCCGTCGGTTCGGCATCAGGTTAACTAGGTTAGAACGTGTCGCGCACCGGCATACGTGCGACGGAGACGGCGCTTGCCGCGGATCGTGCGGCGCGAGCGAGACACGGTGTCCTAAACGCACTTTTTTATATTAGGCACGCCGTGTGTTGACCCGCTGGCTGTCCGTCGTCCCAGCGACGCGACGGTCCTCTGTCCTCGGCCAGCACTTTTTATGTAACGCGCCCGACGAACGAGCCTGTTGTCTCGGCCGCGTAACGTCAGGGGGGCACAGCCGCCGTCGTCGTCGACTTACCCGGTTGATATTGGGCCCGATCGGCGACAGTACCCGTCCCCAGGGCCGAACGACGCGAAGGTACCCGTTCGCGGCGGGTACCGAGGAAACGGATCGTCGACGTTACTCACCAATAACCTCTTTGAGCTCGTAGTCGTCCTTGGTATTCGGCCAGCCCTGCACGACCGTGGTGGAGCTCGAGGACGCCATTTTGTTCGCCAGTGCCGTGCCAAGGCGCGCGTGCTTGCTGGCACCCCGGGCGCCCCGCGCTAGCAGTAACACGCCGCTCTTCGGGCGGCCGCTATTATTCGGCGTTTTCGGCTCACGTGGACCGTTCGTGTTGGCGCCTGCGCGCTCGTGGTTGTTCGACGTTGTCGTCAGGACCGTGCCGCCGGCGCTGCTGGTGGTCGTTGTAGCAGCGGTCGCCGCCGACGTTGTGCCGCCGCTCCGACGCGGCGGTGTCGCCGCGCGGAACGAACGCTGCCGGAAAATACCCGGCGAACAGGACGGCAACACGTCCGGCGATATCTTCCTGCGAACAATTATTTACAACGGTTTGCTTTTATTTCGAAGCGATTTCGGGCGGTGGGGACTCGTCGTCGTTACGACGGCTCCGGCACTTTCGCTGGCAAGGGAGGGGCGCACTGCACCCCGGGTGCGCCCCTACCCTACAGGATTCGGCGTCCGGACGCCACTCTAACGCTCTCATACTTGAGGGTTTCGCGTTAGAATGCCGGTGCCCCAGCGATTCAGAGTTCGGGTAACACCGGGGCATCGCACTTGTGGAGTCGGGGTGCGAACGCCACGGGGTGCCCCGGCACCCGGGGCTCCCGGCTCTGAACACCGCCGCTGGGGCGCCGCGACAATTAACCCTTCGAAGTCGAATTAAAAGTAGCAAAATTTAAAATAGTTTTCCGACACATGGTTTTTTTCATTTTGTATGAACTAGTGCATTTGCTGCTCTTGAAATTGAATATTGCGAGCCGTGCAACATAAGCGCACAAATTTTGTACGCTTTCGACAGCTCTTTAAATGTAAACAAATTTGATCGATACAATTATTTTGAGACGTGACGTAACGAGTTTTAACAGCGCCTCGGAGTCGCCACTCGGGTGCAAAGGGTTGACCTATCAATGATTAGTTTATCGTGCTATGAAATTATTCCTCCCTTTCTTAGCTTTTTAGTTTTTACGCACCGCGATGATACGTTCATGCGATTTACAGTAATTTCTGTCACATTGTCTCTTGTTTTTAGAGTCGCCGATTATCGAGGATTATGAAAACGAGTTGCGAGGCTCGAATAATCGCGCCTCTTCTTTCCAAGTTGTCCATTCTTGTTTCTAAGCTGTTTCTAACATCGTATAATAAATTATTGTACACACAAGCTGTGCGCGTATTCTGCGTTTTTATGCGTTGTCCTTGATGGGTTAAGGTGTCGAGGGGTGGCCACCACCGCAGTGAACACACCCACACTGAAGATGTACAGAGCCTGGGCATTGTCATAGTGTCCTCGAGGCGTTGGGGATTCACGCGTTCCCTACCAGCGTTATTAGCGAATTTATTTATCGTACTTATCGCGTTAAATGCGCCGTATTCTTTTATAAAATATGACACAATTCGTCGCAGAATAATTGCATTAGCATTGGCGTAATTGTCTTGACGATGAAAACGTCGTCAAAGAGAGGCTACGAAATGCCGTGTGCTGTGTCTACTAACAATTTTTTCGACGAAAATGAATTATACACAGCAAAAGTAGAGATTTCAGGCTTCAAAATGAGCTTAGTTTCGTTGTTCTACGATTTTTATTCACGAAGTTACGGTATTTTGAATATCGTCGATGTTTCGAAGGTTAGAAATTTCGCGTAAAGTCTGGAACGAGGTTCTTCCGTCTACCGTGTCGCGAATAAATTTTTTTAAGGAAATCGACGGACGGCCTTCGAAAGTAGATACTTCAGGCTTTAAAATGAACCTAGTTCCATCGTTGTATGATTTTTTTTCACGAAGTTGTAGCTGTTTGAATATCGACAATTTTTTCGAAAATACTTCGTCGAAAGTAGGAAATGGTTCGTTTTTATAGTTACCGATTGTCAAAACAATTATGACAACGAGGCGCGTGGCTCGAATAATCGTGTCTCCACTTCCCAAACTGTCCATTTTAGTGCGCAATCTGAGCGCGAATTAGGGAGAAATTACTGTATTCGTGCGCAATCTGAGCGCAAATTAGCGAGAAATTATAGCATTAACAATACATAATATTAATAACCGTGCCAAGTGTTACGACTTTAAATAACTATATTCGTTGAATCAATTCGACGTTCTTCAAATTGAAAATGGTCGTCGCACATGTGCGACGCTAGGCAGCGAACGCGTCGAGCCCACCGCGTCGTCATCCGACGCGGGCGAAGCGTTAAAATAGTCTCCGTGAAACGGCCCCTACCCAAATCGCCTCTCAAAAATGTCTCCCCTCGCATCGTCGTCGTATACTAATTTCTACTTCGCCGCGAGTCCGCTATTACCTTAGCGTATCTCGCGCCATCATACTTCTCCCTAAGTGTCTACAGTGTAATGTCTCTCTAATTGACGCTCAGATTGTCCACAGAAACGGACAATTTGCGGAGAGGGGACACGATTATTCGAGCCTTGCGATTTGTTTTCACAGCTACGAATTAAAATATATAAAATATATAACGATTGAAATTACTACGATTAAAATATGTAAAAATAAGTATAATATATAATAATATATATAATAATAATAAAAATATAGTAATATATAATAATATAAAAACGAGCCGCAAGGCTCGAATAATCGTATCTCCTCTTCCCAAATCGTCATTTAGGGACTGTACACACGTACACTCGCGCGTCCCCCAAGTTTGTAGGTCACTTGAAGGTCATTCAGCCGCGAGAACAGAGAATCGCAGCCCAAAAAATCCCACCGCTTCGCCTGCGGGAACGGCACGCGCTATGTGGCCGGCTCGCACTAAGCACAGGCCACGGCGACGTGTTTATTAAGTCTCCATTACGCGTAATCTTGTCAAAATAAACGCGTGGACAAAGCGTGGACGCAACCCACGCGAGCCCCAATCCGATTCATTAAAGCCGGCTGGTCTTTCTTCGAGAAAGGAGCGACGACGCAGCGCGTGACGACTTTCGGTGTCCCGAGCGATTCTCTCGCTAATTGCTCGGCGTTCTCTTCGTCTCCTCCCCTCCCCCTCTAACTCGAAGGCACCGTTTCTTCCTAAAAGATCGTCCTCGAGCGGATCGCGTACGTCGTCGCCCATCGACCCGAGTCCTCTATTTGGAATCACGTTCCCGGCGATATTAACGTACGGCGCGTTGCGGAAAGGGTTCACGGAAAATCACGGCCGGGTTTACTCGCGCTGGATTTACGCTACGCTCGCCGCGGCGGAGTTTACTCACGGCGGGTTTACTCACGGCGGGTTTACACTGACGGTATCCGGTGTGTGCGTCCATTAGCCGGGGATTAGGATTTATCCGGCGTTAAGCACTGCGGCGTGGCGCGTGTGTTCTGTTATTACAATTTTTCTTCTTCTCGATGAGAGTGCGAGAGAGAGAGAGAGAGAGAGAGAGAAATAATGAAAGAGAGAGAAAAATAAAGAAAGAGGGAGAAAAATAAAGAAAGAGAGGGAAAAATAAAGAGAGACAGAGAAAGAAAGAGAGAGAAAAATAGAGAGAAAGAGAGAGAGAGAGAAATAAAGAAAGAGCGAGAAAAGTAAAGAAAGAGAGGGAAAAATAAAGAGAGAGAAGGAGAGAGAAAAATAGAGAGAGAGAAATAAAGAAAGAGAGAGAAAAATAAAGAGAGACAGAGAAAGGAAGAGAGAGAAAAATAAAGAGAGAGAAAAATAAAAATAAAAAGAAAGAGAGAGAATAATAAAGATAGAGAAAAATAAAGAGAGGGAGACAAAGAAAGAAAAAGAGAGAGAAAAAGAGAGAACGAAGGAGAGAAAGAGGAGTCCAGAGCACATTCGCGCGATATGCGCCCGCGATATTAGAAGGCTAATCCTGGCCCGTCCGTCAAAGCGGAATCCCACCATAAACTCCGTCGACAGCACACGCTCGCCACGATTAGCAATTGAAGATAGGTCTACCGAACGTCGTCGCTGTCGCGTATATCGTGAAGAGGCTGGCTTATTCGGCGGGAGGGGGCGCACCGAACAGAACCAACCCGGACGGAGAAAGAGCGAGAAAGCTGGAGAAATGAGCGGGTTACTGTGTGGAGGGGCACGCTGGGACACCAATTAGGACGTCGAGGCACAAAAGGACAGATTGAAACGCTTCTATGCCGTCTCTTTCGTCGAGATTTAATCCCTTCCCTCCCTGTTATTATTATCATGGAGGGGGGAGGGGTGATAGTGCAGCACGGATTGCGAGCGAATTTTTCATAAATTATTGTTAAGGGTAGAGGATCCCGGAATTAAATATGGCGGAGCTAAAAGGGGAGAGCAAGAGAGAGAGAGAGAGAGAGAGAGAGAGAGAGAGAGAGAGAGAGAGAAAAGCCGGGAAGCACCGCGATTTAGCCACTCGATCGGCCGCGATTAGAGAATTCAATTAAATGACCACGGTGATCAAAATAGACGTGATTGGTTGCGTTATCAAGTCCTGCTGTTTGCACGAGGATTTTCGGAGTCCGTACGATACCATTGCGATCCTAGCTACAGCCCTGTATAAAATCGTGTGACCACCGCTGGTCCGGCAGTCGTTCGAAAGCAGTTCCCGAACGGAAGCGTCGGCCGAGATACCGGAAACGGAAGCGGAACCATGCAGAAATTAATCTACGTTCTGTTGGTGAGATTTTTGTTCTTAGAATGAATCATCGGAGAACGAATCATCGGCGTAGGAGTCGTTTAAACGATTTAGTCGAATTTTACGTGATTACTTTCAAGAAATCGAAACTTTTTGGAAAATACAGTCAATTCTCTCCCTAATTGACACGCAGCTTGGAAACGAAAATATTGAAAATATTAACTATATTATAACTATAATTATATTATATTATATTTTTTAATACTATTGACTGTATTAACAATGGACAATATTAACTATAAAAACGATATTTTGTTAATTATATATACATATATATGTACAGTATACTATAACTATAATACTATATATTGTATACCATATATACAGTGTACTATAACTATATCGTATATATTTTGTTAACTATATATACATATATATGTACAGTACACTATAACTATAATACTATATATTGTACACTATATATACAGTATACTATAACTATATCATATATATTTCGTTAACCATAAAAACGACCAGCAAGGCTCGAACAATCGTATCTCCTCCTCCCAAATTGTCCATTTCTCTTTTTGTATAATCTGAGCATCGATTAGGGAGAATTTACTGTACTCGAAGGGGTTGGCATTAAGAAAATACTTCGAAGAAATTGATTCATCGGAAAAGCAAATAATAAATAAATAATAGTTGGCCTTTAGAAGAGACCTGTGGCAGATTGGCTCGTGGACCGTTGTCTTTGGTAGACAGCGGGGTGCAAACGGTTTGTTGAACCCCGTTGGCTCCTTGGGGGGAGGTTAAGGTGGGAGAGCGCAGCGGCGGCGGCCTTTAAGCGGCTCAATTATCGCGAACGTGCTACCACGTCATTAAGAAAACTCCCGTTGTTTACCGTTCAATTATTGGTACGTCGCTTGGTGGCCGGCCGCGGCGAACGGTAATAACTCGTTTAAGAGGATGTTAAACGTGCGCGCGTTAATTTGCCACGCGTAAATTGCGCTTAAATTTAGTGTTCCCCCGTCTAATTCCGTCGCGGTACCGTCCCGTCGCGTACGGCTTTAACGATCCCGCGAACGATTATCGCGATTAGCGGAACCCAACGTAAATATTATGCCGGTCGGACGCGGCGGATGCTCGCCGGAAAATATTCCGCGCGCGTCCGTCCGTCCGTCCGTCCGTCCGTAAATTCCGCGCAACAATAACACACAACGTCGACGACGAGAACGACGACGAGAACGTTATATTGGGTTGTCCGGAAAGTTCGTGCCGATTTTCGGTAGGTAGCGTGAGAGACCTGACTGAATATATCACAATTATTGAAAACAAATGACATTTATTGCGAATCTGGCCACCGCGGAGGTGGCGCAGATATGTTTCCTCGCCAGATCTGGCATACACAAGAAATTTAGTACCTACCCCCCGACGGAACACCTACGAGGGGTCCGAACGTGGGTAGATCGCCGCCTTCGCTCATCGTTCATTAGGCTGGGTACGGAAGACCCAGTCTTAACTCTGCGTCCGTGTAAGGAGTTTTGTGGTTTGCTTTGCCCTCAAAATGCCACACGACAGCAATTGTACAGCGTGTCAGGCTAGGGGGCAAAAAACAAATGACATGTGTGCATATTCTAAAAGAGGTAACTTCAGCCATATCTGGAGAAAAGTTTGGTTACGATTCGTTAATTTTTATCAGCTTTGCACGCCTTAGAATATGGTGGCAAATAAAGTGCATTATAGGCAGTTAATGCTTTTCTTTTTCCGAAAGGGCAAAAATGCCACACAAGCGGCAAATAAGATATGCGCTGTTTATGGCGAGGATGCTGTAGCCGAAAGAACTGTGCGGAAGTGGTTTGCTCGGTTTAAAGCTGGAAGCTTTTAGACCGTCCATCACAGACGAAGATACGGTTAGAACAGAAATCGAGGGTAACCCATGCTCAACATTACGCCAATTAGCAGGAATGCTAAATAAATCAAAATCAACCATCCACGATCATACTGTGGAGCTTGGCTCCAATATTTAAATGAGCCGCGTTCTAATTTTCCTAAAAAATCGGCACGAACTTTCCGGACAACCCAATACATTGGCGCACTGGCGTCGCGTTCCGTCGAATTTCCCTACGAAAGGCCGGCGCGGAACGTACGCTGTTTTGTCTCGATTTGTTTTCATCGGTGACCTTGATCTTCCTCGGGCTGAAAAAGACATCGCGTAGCATTCGAACGGGAGGAGGAGAACAATAACAACAGTGCTCACCTATTTCTGCCGAGCACCAAAGTCGTCAAGAACCTGTTGTCTTGGAACTTGAGCCGCTCCTCTTCCGTAGATATAGGCGCCGCGGCGCCTAGCGTCCCGGTCTTGCGCTGCCTCATGCTGCCCGCAATTCTGCGCACACAGAAACGTCCGCGTCAGTCCGGTTGCATACAAGCCGGGGCGCGCGCGGCTTCGCGTTCCCGAGGCTCCGCTCAAAATGGGAGCGCGGTAATTACGATTCGTTACTCGATCGTTAATTAACCGCGGCAATACCGGCCCCGGCGAATTGCGTATCGGCCCGACGAAAGATGAATCGAGCTGAACGATCGTCGAACGGCTTGATCTATCGTTGATTTCTCGGTTAATTTTTCCCGAAACGGAGAATGTTCATTTGTCGATTAATTTTATGTTAATATTTAGTAATTATATTAGTATTATCGCTGGTTATATTGATTGATAATTATATCAATATTATCGCCGATTATATTAATTAATAATTGTATCAGTATCATCGCCGATTATATTAATTAATAATCACATTAATATATCACCGATTGTATTAATTATTGAATTATATTAATATTATCGCTGATTATATTAATTAACGATTATATCAGTAGATCGCCGATTATCAAATCGGTGTAATTCAATTAAGAAATTCTTTTCAATTACGAAAATCAATTATTATTTAATTTATTATTCAATCAATTTCAAATTGCATAATTTTAACAACAGATTTTCGTTGCGAAATATTCCATTTAATTTTGCAGACTAAACATGCAACGAATTAGCTCAAAGTTGCAAAGTGTATCTCAATGCGGTAAGTGCTCCCTAATTTTCCTTCAGCTTGGAAACGAAAATGGACAATTTGGGAAGCAGAGACACCATTATTTTAGCCAATAACTATTTTTATAGTAATTCTGAATCGGTAACTTTAAAAACGAGCAGCCTCGAGGCTCGAATAATCGTGTCTCCTCTTCCAAAATTGTCCTCCATTTTCGCGTGCAATCCGAGCGTCAATTAGGGAGTATTTACCGTGAATTGTAATCGCGTGAAATATATTTAGCGAATAAATTGCGAAACGCGTACAAAAGAGGATCCACCGGCGAAGATATTATTTGCATTGGTCCGCGTCGCTGGCTGGTTGAGGTCCCTAGGATGTCAGCATGTGGAATATTTCTAAATTGGCGGTCAGTCGATTGTCACCTAAATACCTAAATGGAATAATTGGAGCTGGATTGGCCTTACCGGCTATTTTTAGCCGGCATCAAGGGGTAGACCCTATCTGGCTATCTAAAAATAATCTGACAGCAAATGGACCGTTGAATGTTTTCAGCCAGTGGCCCTCTTCGATGCTAAGACAGTTTTGCGTCTGCAGAAATATTTCTCCGGCGCGATCGCGATCGTTCCTGCAGCAACAACGACAACCGATAACGTCGCTTCCATCTGAGCATGTTCTATAATACCGGGCTAGTCGATTCGAAGATCTGTTTCTCCGAAATGCCGTTTCTAATTCCAAGATTCCACGAATGTCTCGGTTCTACTTTGTCTGATATAAGTTGTTGCAGCTTCCCGCGTGCTGTGTCTCCGAACAATTTTTTCCGCCAGAATGAATTATACAGGGAAAACGTAGAGATTTCAGGCTTCAAAATGAGCATAGTTTCGTTGCTCTACGATTTTTATTTACGAAGTTACGGTATTTCGAATATTGTCGATGTTTCGACGGTTCGAAATTTCGCGTAAAGTCTGGAACGAGGTTCTCCCGTCTACTGTGTCGCGAATAAATTTTGTTAAGGAAATCGACTGACGGTCTCTGAAAGTAGACACTTCGGGCTTTAAAACGAGCCTAGTTCCATTGCCATGCGATTTTTTTTCACAGAGTTATAGCTGTTCGAATATCAACAATTTTCTCGAAAATTCGAGATTTTATATAAAATCTAGACCGACGTTTCCCATCCATCATATCATAAATCAATTTTTCCAGAAGAAACTGACCAATATCATTCGAAAGTAGACACTTCGGGCTTTAAAACGAGCCTAGTTCCATTGCCATGCGATTTTTTTTCACAGAGTTATAGCTGTTCGAATATCAACAATTTTCTCGAAAATTCGAGATTTTATATAAAATCTAGACCGACGTTTCCCATCCATCATATCATAAATCAATTTTTCCAGAAGAAACTGACCAATATCATTCGAAAGTAGACACTTCGGGCTTTAAAACGAGCCTAGTTCCATTGCCATGCGATTTTTTTTCACAGAGTTATAGCTGTTCGAATATCAACAATTTTCTCGAAAATTCGAGATTTTATATAAAATCTAGACCGACGTTTCCCATCCATCATATCATAAATCAATTTTTCCAGAAGAAACTGACCAATATCATTCGAAAGTAGACACTTCGGGCTTTAAAACGAGCCTAGTTCCATTGCCATGCGATTTTTTTCCACAGAGTTATAGCTGTTCGAATATCAACAATTTTTTCGAAAATTCGAGATTTTACATAAAATCTAGACCGACGTTTCCCATCCATCATATCATAAGTCAATTTTTTCAGAAGAAACTGACCAATATCATTCGAAAGTAGATACTTCGGGCTTTAAAACGAGCCTAGTTCCATTGCCATGCGATTTTTTTCCACAGAGTTATAGCTGTTCGAATATCAACAATTTTTTCGAAAATTCGAGATTTTACATAAAATCTAGACCGACGTTTCCCATCCATCATATCATAAGTCAATTTTTTCAGAAGAAACTGACCAATATCATTCGAAAGTAGATACTTCGGGCTTTAAAACGAGCCTAGTTCCATTGCCATGCGATTTTTTTCCACAGAGTTATAGCTGTTCGAATATCAACAATTTTTTCGAAAATTCGAGATTTTACATAAAATCTAGACCGACGTTTCCCATCCATCATATCATAAGTCAATTTTTTCAGAAGAAACTGACCAATATCATTCGAAAGTAGATACTTCGGGCTTTAAAACGAGCCAAGTTCCACGATTGTACGATTTTTTTGCACGAAGTTATAGCTGTTCGAATATCGACAATTTTTTCGAAAATTTGCAACTTCGACGAGAGTAGTGGACGGCTCGTTTTCATAGTTACCGATTGTCGGCAAAACTATGAAAACGAGCCCGCAGGGCTCGAATAATCGTATCTACTCTTCCCAAATTGTCCATTTTCTGAACGCAATCCGTGTGCGAATTAGAGAGAACTTACTGTACCGCGACGACCGACATGTCAAACTTTCACGGTGAAACAGATCTGTGATCGTCCTCGCGAATGGCAATTGGGCTTTCGTGTACGTCATTCGCGATTCGCTAACAGGTTTAAATCCATCCTCTTGGAAATGTCTCGCCAGCATGATCTAATTGTCTCCTTAAACACATGGAGCTCGTGTGCATTCCACGTTCGTGTAGCTTCCCGAGCACGATATTCAAGGAAGCTGTTGCACGTTCGCGGAATCGCGAAAAATTCTTCCCCCGGCGGTGCATTGAAACGACACACCGTTGGTCCTGACTTCATCTTTGACGCAATCGATGCAAATTTCTTCCCGGAATCCGTTCCATGTCCCGATCAAGACGTAACTTGCGCCGCATTTCAAATCCGAGCTCCGACTTAGCCGCATTCCAAAATGGAAGCTTCGTGGAAATATTTAAAAATGGCGGCCATCTTGAATCAATATTGCCGTCGAGATTAGATTAAATGTTTCATTTAAATCGGTATCCACGGACTGCAACGATTGCCGTTAGAGAAACGTACAGCTTGAGAGATTGTTTTCGTCATCTGCCGCATTCCAAAATGGAAGCTTCGGAGATATCTCAAAATGGCGGCCATCTCGAACCAATATTAACGTCGAGATTAGATCAAATGTTTCATTTCGATTGCCGTTAGAGAAAAGTGTAACTTAAGATTGTTTTCGTCAGCTGTTGCACTTCAAAATGGAGGACTCGGAACTATTTTAAAATGGCGGCCGCCTCGAAGCAAAATTCCCATCGAGATTAGATCAAACGTTTTATCCAAATTGGTTTCTACGGGCCCTAATGTAATTGCTGTTAGGGAAACGTGTAACACGAGATTGTTTTCTGTCGGTTGCACCATGATTCCACGATCGGAGAAACAAAATTCGAGGGGGTCAGACGGGATGAGCGTAGGTGGCGCGCCACGCGTGTCGCAAACTCAAATTAAAGTCTCTGTTCTGGCCAGCAAATTAAACTTTTAACCCAAATAGGTCGTTCACTGCTATCATCGTACGAACAATTTCGTCACAGAATTGTTGCTCGTCGAGGCAATTCATAAACAAAATGGCGTCGCGTCGTTCTCCGTGAAATTTTGCGATTCACAATTTTCCAGGAAACTCGTGGCATCGAAATTCGCGATTTCGAATTCTACAGGCTGAGCGGAATAATAATAGGACAATATTAATGCGATAACAAAGTGGTATAATAATAGCTCCATTAACCGAACTGGATTTTCCCTGATCTTTTTTTCTATAGACTTTTGATTATTCCAAGTGGCAACGACGAAACAAAAGGATCTCGATTAAATTTGTATCAATAATAATAATAATATATAATATTGTACGAATAATTAAGCAAGAACGAAAAGAATTTAACCGCGAATTCGAAATTCGAAACAGAATGCTGTTAGTGGAACAATAATAGAACGCTGTTAGCATTCCGCCACGAATAACGATTTCACGTCAAGAGAACGTCAAGAGGAAACGCTTCGGCCGATGCGGATAAATCGGAACTCCCGATGCGCAGCGCCAAGTGCACAGGAATTAATATACATCGATACAGAAATAAAGCTGCATTTCAATCGATACAGCAGCCATAAACGTCAAACAGTTTCCAATCTGCATCGTCGAGTACACCGAGCGACGGCTCTGCCAACAAAGTAGATCTCGAGTTTAATTAAAATGCTCTGCAATTTCGCCCGTGGAATGTCCTCGGGACGCGTAAACGAAAATTTGCCGGAATTTCTATTTTCGTCGATGCATTCGAGAATTTCATAATATTCGGAGCAATTTTAATGGCGATCCTAACGTTGTTGCAATGTTGTTGTAGCTTTTTTATATGTAGTATACATATATATATTTTATATGTTTTATATATTTTATATTTTCTATATATTTTATATATCGTATATATATATATTTTATATATTTCGCATATTTTATATATTTCATATATTTTATATATTTCATATATTTTATATATTTTGTATATTTCATATATTTCATATATTTCATATATTTTATATATTTCGTATATTTTATATATTTCGTATATTTCGTATATTTTATATATTTTGTATATTTCATATATTTTATATTTTATATATATAGTAGTAGCTCTTTAGCAAACGGTGTCGCGTGTTTCACGATCGCCTGGCTTCCGGCGTTCTCCGAGCACCGGTCGCACAATTCCTCGGGTTCGCCTAACTAAAAAATGAACAGAACCGCCGCGTAAAATCGAAATAGCCCCGTCACAAGGATCCAACCGAGAAACGTTCTCGGCGCGCCGTTTCCGACGTCTCTCAGCCTCCTTGCGGATGACGTAATACGGCGTCATCGGCCATCAGCTGTGCGAGCATACGCGACCTTGCGAACTTTCGTTCTCTGCTCGACGTTTCGCCGAGATCATTTTCGACCGACTCGATCATTTTTGTTCCGAATTTATCCTGATAATTCCTCGCGACGGATATAACTTCGATTATCCGAACTCGAAATCGACAAGTGAAGTTCTTTTTATTTTCGATTAAAATTATTGGTACGATCGATCGACGTCGATAGATCGAGATTTGTTCGAGCTTCTTCGACAGTTCCGTCGCGATTCACTCGAAACGATCAACAAATTCGAGCAACAAAAGTCCGAGGAAAATGCAGTGTCCGTTCGATCGCGGCTCCGCCGTGATTCGTCGCCGAGCTGCATCGTTCGACCATAATTCATCGCGCACGAAATTGAATTTCAACGCGAGTCCCCGACTGCGAATTGCGCGCGTTCGAAACTGATAACGACGAGCCGCCGTTAATTACCGGCGACGGTAGCGCAGCCTGTCCCCTGGCAGCCTGTTTCTGTTGACTTCTTTTTTTTCAAATAGACGACGATCGGCCTCGCGCGTCACCGCGGCCGTGATTAATGGCTCGTGGGTACGGTAAAAATTGAACGAATTCCTCGGTATTTCGAGGCGAACGCGATAAATTGCGATATGGAATCGGTCGCGTAAATTATTCTCGATCGTACTTTCCTCGTGCGATGGAAACGGACGCAGAAGACGCGGCTTGACGCGTCGCGCAGGACACCGCGTAGAAAACGGTTGTCCGCGCGGCCCGATCGAGCGCCAATAAATTTCATTCCGAGCACAATACATGAATACGTACGTGGTGGTCAGCTGACGGACGGTCTGATCGCGCAGAAATTTCTCCTTGAACGAGTTGATACCGAACCGAGAGAAGTACCTGTTATCGCGAAGAAGACAGTGCCGCCGTGGAGCGCTTCAATAAGCCATGGCTGATGCCAGATAATTGAAACGACTTTGCATTGGGGCAGAGTCAAGTGATATAGGTTACACCGTTTCGCCGAAGCAAACAAACAAATCCCGCCGTTCGATTCTTGGCCGCGATCCGTGCCCGTATCGACACACGCGGCTTTCCACGAAAACGAGAACCCGATTCGCCGCGGCGCGAGACGCGTTCGCGAAAACGAACGGACAAACGGCGGCGATCGATTTCTTCCTCTGCTTGTTCGTCGAAAAAGAGCGCACAAAAACACAAAAAGCGGCGGACGAAAAGCAAACAGATTTCGACCGACCCGAAGTCTTCTTTTCTTTCCTTTTTTTGCGAACGGCGCTCTTCATCAATGGAACCTTTGCTCGAGCCGGGCGAGGGTCAATTGGTTATTAACTCGGACAGCCGTAACGGCTATTAAACCGTTTCATTGTCATGAATATTACCGCGAAAAAAAGGCCCTCGGGGGGAAATCACAGATCGTCCGTGGCGCGTTCGAGAAGTTCGGGCCACGTCGGACCGTTCCGAAAATGCGCGACCGGAGCGCACGGGTTTCGGTCGGCGGCCAGGGGTTCTCAACTCGCGCACGGACGCCGAGACGACGTTATTTTCCCGGTCGTAGACAGCGCTGGGAACGCTTCTCGTCGAATAAAATCGCAAGAATCCTTGCCGAGGGGGACGAGGACGCGGGAGAAGTCGAGGCGAGTTGAGAACCACGGCTCGAGAGACGCGTCCCAGCGTAAGGTCCCAAACCGAGCACTAAAGACGTCCGACACATGCGCGTTGTTCCATGAGAATTACGAGACCGAGTTCATTTAGAACGGCATCCTGCCGTCGTTAACGCTAGATTTACGGAACAACCCGTCGAATCGACGGGTCGCTAATTTCTTAATTTACGATCGTTCGTATCGCGAACATACGATTTACGAGTTATTTATTCAATTTGTGCGTTACATACGGCGAACGTTGCAATAACGCTTGTTCAAAATCAGTATAAATCTCTTATTGTTACTTTGATAAATTATTACGAAACAGCTGTTTCCTGTGCTCCGTAGATCCAGCGTGAACCTCGGAAGTTTCATCAAATTCAAGTGTTTCATTTCAAGTCGAGTATTTCAAATAAAAATTACGAAGCAAACTTATATGGCATCGATTACCTGATCGACATTCGCACTCCTTGCAAATCTTAATAAAACGAAGCGGTCATTTTTAATTGGACGTGCAAGATTTCGGTCATCGATCGACTGAATTTAAAACGGCGAGATCTGCCCATCCGGTTGGCCAAGCGTTAATATAACGCGTGTTCGAAATATATCCGATCGTCGCGGCTCTATTATACCAGAAAGGTTTAAATAAAAAATAATGTGAAACGCTGATTTCGTTCTCCGCGGTAGCTTTAGGTCGCAGCCTGCGATCCTATCGAAGGCGCAGGCCTTCGAAGAAACGAGGGAGGAGCCTCCGGACTGGCCCAGCAGTCGAAGGCGAACGTTCTACTGCCGTAGTCGGCTCACCTTTCAACCGGCGGACCCCTTATCGGTCGCGTTATCGAGCTATCTCACCTGGCGGACGTTGACTTCAGGGCTCCATTCGCGTACAGATCGGCTGCCATATTACACCGATGTCCCCTCTCGCATATCTCCCTACGGCGGAGGCCGTCACCGAGCCTCTGGGCCCTCGCGAACAGTCCCTTCGGCGGCACCTCGGGCTCTGCGGCGCGCGGTCGGCCAGCAAAACGGAACCAGTTCACTAGACAACGGTCAACCTTGACTTCGTTCCCGCTGGAACCAGCGAGCCGGTCCCGAAACGCGGCCTCGTTTGACCTTGACGGTGCCCGGCACCGTCATCACGACCCGAATCGTGCGGCCCGCGCCCGATCTTCCGCGCCCGCCGGATCCCCGAATCCGATGTCAGCGAGATCGAGCTTGGAGGACTCCGGTTCTGAGCTCGAGGATGTCGGACAGGGAGGACCGTCGTCGTCACTGCTGCCGGAGACGCGCTCGGATCATCCTGAGCTCGACGTCGACTGAACTATGTCAGACGGGGGCACCGTCAATTGGATAACTACCTAACCGCACACCGACGTCGTGCACACCGCGCGGACTATGCGTGTTGATAGCGCTACACGATGACCACCGGGCCACCTCTTCTTCTTCTCTCTCTCCCTCCTAGCGGCCGACACGGCACCCCTCCCCCGCACACGGCCGGCCCTATATTCGCACGTGTTAACGAGCCTTTTAATTTCGCGCTCCGACACCTGTCGCGCGGAGAGAAGCCGGATGCGGCTGGTCCATCTTCTCCATGGACCGAGGAGGGCAATCGTTCGCGTTCTCGCAGTCGTTTCTCGATTTTGGCACTTTTAATTGCCGGGGATCGCTCCGAGGAACACGGAGAATCGATCCGGAGAATCTGCGATCGGGGATTATTGATTAATTATTGACGAGGTAATAGGCCCTCGAGAGGCGATGCCACGGAGATTGGAAGATCGATCGGGATCGAGAGCGAGATCGATCGCGGTTTCGCGGTTGTTCGGATAAGAGAACGCGGTATCGAATGCTGCGGAATTCGCTGCTTCGATTTGGTCGTTCCTCCGTCGGGGACGGCCGTCTGTTTATTCTTCGCTCGCGATTTATCGGCGTCGCGCTGCGCGCCGCGCGACTATGGCCGGCCTGGAAGGCACCGCGAAACATAGCGATCGGCACGGGGAAGAGTAATTTATATCGTACGACGCGGAGAGCACATCAGCGCAATCACGATCGACCTTGCTGACCGGTTCATACTCTGTTTTTCGCGGGATTAACGTTGTCTTGAAAAAGATTCGTCAACACGCCGCCGCACCGCCGCCGCCCCGTCGTCGCGATCCCGCGACATCGCCGTGGCCATTCACAAACGCGGACCTAATTAAGATCGACCCGAGGTTCGCGGGAAGCAATCGTTGAACGGTTTCGGTCGAATCGAAGCGACTTTGTCATCTTCTCGTTTCGAAAGAGAGCGCACGCGTTTCCTGCGCCTCGATTCGCCAATTTTTGGACGGCGAGCGTTTTTCGGCATCTGTGGCAGCCCCACGGCTGCATCAAATCTGTACGAATGATTTTTATTCGCGTATTATTCACCCGTTAACTGCCGAATATTAACTAGAAAATGTCACGCGATATTATTTATTTAACGGCAGCGAAACTAGAAAGTGAAAATTTATCATTGGAAATATTTTGTGGCTATTTTGTGTTCCACGAATCTTAGTAACGATCAATTTGTTTAATATATTACAGTGAAACTGAATTTCGAAAACCTAATTAAAAATTAGAGTTACCTATACGTGACTCGCGCGGCACTGAACGTATTAAACCTGTTTGATTCGGAGGTAATCCTTTTATTCGTGCCAATGTTAATATTTGAAAATTAATTAATGATAATTCTGTCGACATTTCTAAATTTTTTTTAAATATTTTTACTGTCCCAAATTGCAACTACTCGATGTTTCCATAAATGCATAAAATTCGCAGTCTGATAATTATAAACGATTGCCATGATACTAGCATTTAGATGGAACGTTTGTAACACTGGGTCAAAATGGACCCGGCGCCCGTCATCCGTGGGCTAACCAGCGATCTCCAATTGTTCGGTAGAAATTCAAACGGAAAATCATACGTTAGGGCGCGTATTTTAGAACCTCTACAAAAGTATTTCATTGTATACCTTGTACATGTTATATGTAGCCGGTCTGATTGAAACGACAGAGGCGTTCCAGTTGACATCGGGGCTCTGTAATCCGATTTTCTGGCGTTGCGTCATCCGTTAAAATTCAAGCTTTGACGGAGGTCTCAGTCAGCGTTGGAGACCTATCAAACTTGATAAAGCATAAATCGTGTGCGGAGGGTTCTGCTAAGTGGGAATGGAAGTGGAGTGAATCGGTCGTTTAATAATGTAACTGACAAAACGGTAGAACGATCGTCGATTATTGATGGCTACGCTCGAACCCGCTGATTCTTCAATACCCCTCACTGTGGAACACAAAATCATCCTCCGACAACGTTCTGTTCGGATAGACGCTCTGATCCGCTCTACGTATACTTAGAGGTATCAGTATTTGGCGAGGATCGAGGATAACTATCTCTGCGAACTCCTGGGAGACTGTTCTAGGATTCTCAAAAATATCTCGCAATCTGAAAATGGGGGATTCCTGAGATTATTCGAAGCAACTGTTTCCTTTGCGGAAATGCAATCCGTGGCTTCGTTTACGAGTTATTAACGAAAAACGCTGACCAATAAGAGACGAGCGCGGCTGCCGGAAGGCGGCGCAGTCAATGAGCGCGCGAAGCCCAGTTCCGCTCATTGGCTTGGCCGTCACGCGTCAGCTGATCTCGTTTCTCATTGGTTACCGTTTTTCGTTAATAACTCGTGAACGAAGCCGGGGATTGCATTTTCGTTAAGGAAAAAGTTGCTTCAAATGATCTCAGGTATCCCCTTCCGGATTGCGAAACATTTTTGGGATACCATCCTGTATGTATAAGGGCTACTCGTTGACAATTGTCATCGTTACGATTGCACCAATGCCAAAACATTATCTCGCCGATTTCACCTGTCAACTTCATTATCTACTTTCAAATTTGTCACCTGGAGTCCTACGACAAACCGAAAAACTTGTTGACCTATTCTTTGCTCTTCAACTGCTTTTAGATACACCGCTTCCCATAGCTCGCGCTGAATTTGCGAAGCGACAAAGCATCTAAATTTAAAAATTACCCGCGTCTCGCGTACCAACCTGGCAGACCGTTCGTGCTACCAACTTATAAAGCTGTTACTACAGACGCTGCCCGCGCTTTTCAAATTGCAGTTCGCCGGTTTGACGATGCTGGCCGAAGCCGGGCACGAGGTTTGCAAGCGCTGCAACAGCACTTATATGGTATCGAAGAGGTCGCCGAGGATGAACTCCCAGTACCTCTACCATCCTAGTCACCCGCTTTCGGCTTTCTTCGAGCTGTCCTCCCTGCCGGAGGAAGAGCACGCCGAGGACCAGGTGCTGAGGCAGGTCGGCCAGCAGCCGTTGGACAGAGGCAAAAAGAACTTGCTACCTGTTAGTCCTGTACACGACCAGTCGAAATAAAATGCTTCCCCCGAATCAGACTCTTATGTTCCACCTATGCTTCGCAGGAGTACCGTGACCTTTGCGAGATAATCACTAAAAGAGTGCAGCTAGACGACTTGGAATACGAGTATCAGCCGCCGCAATACTACGAAGTCTATTGTAAGAATTACCCTTTCGTTGGCAATGATCAAGCCGCGGTCAAATCGAAGCAGGTAGATCGAACAACGGAGGACACGTCTTCCTGCCTGCCCCGTCGCAATGACAACCAGTTCATTTTTCTAGGAATGCGTAAATCCGGGCTTTCACTGCGTGCAGAGGAGCAAGACCTTGTTCTTGGTGAGGCGACGTTGGGACAGCGAGTGCTGGGAGCCTTATTCTAAGGAAATCGCCAGCGGTTGCGACTGCATGTGGCCGGTGTCCGCCCTCGGAGACATTGCTGTTCACTATTAAGTGTCCGGACAGCCATTATGACGCGACGCCGAGCGGAAAACAATAAATGATAAAGACTTATTTGCCGTGGTTTATTGGAAAATATCGTCATATAAAATTTCTCTCACGAGCAAGTCGCTGTACATTATTATCCTCTGTTCGTGTTCCACGAGTTCGCCTTGTGCTTAGGCAGAAAGTGGAATCCCTCAGGCACTTTTCCTAGTAACATTTCCCTGGAAAGTACGGCACAGAGGGAATAATAGATTGTAAGAAAAGAAATAAAGGTACACTTACGATAATTTAATCCAATCGGCACAGTTCGAGCTGGCCATCAATGTCTCCATATCATCGCGACCTCGGTAGAACGGAGGTCTCTCGTTTATCCTCTGCGGTGGCCTCTCCAGAATGCCAACGGGGACGTACCTAACAGAAATGGATATAGTTCGGGTAGACAAGAAGTTCAGGGCGTGCTATAATTACCTGTGCAGAAAGGATATCCATTCTAACATGAATCTCCTTGTCGTCTCCACACCTCGAGTGTCCGAACCCCAGTGTTCAAGGCCATAGTTGGAATACTTCTTCAAAATATCGAATCTCTCTGAACTGGAAATATCTATCAGCTTCTTCTCCTTTATTTCGGTGAATATCCACGGTTTTATCAGTGCACCACGACCTATGGTAATACCCTGTATATTCGTGTACGTGTTCTGAACCCTTTGGTAATCGTCGTAAGATAAAATGTCGCCGTTCCCGAACACGGTTACCGGGTGTGCTGCCTTCGCGCATTTGTCTATGTACTCCCAGTCAGCCAGCTTCGTATACCTTTGTTCGCGGGATCTTCCGTGTACCTTTTAATGAGTATTTCTGAATTAAAATAGTTATTTTATTGTACGGTGTGCTGTAAACTTGAGGATGCAAGTAACTTACTCACAGTGATCATGGATGCACCCCATTCACGGAATTTAGGTACCAGATTGTGGACGATTGGTTTGTCGATGTAGACGCCGGTTCTAGTCTTTATAGTTAGGGGAATAGTCAAAACTTGGCTGACTGACTTTATGACTGTTTCTAATACGTTCAGTCGATTGAGCATCCCGCTGCCGCCGCCTTGTCTATAGATCAGATCTATGGGGCATCCCAGATTCAAATCAATGAAGTCAACGTCGATTTCTTTGTTTAATAATTGCGCGCATCTTGTCAGTACGCCGGGATTGTTGCCACAGAGCTGTACACCGAATATATCCTCCGACTCGTGTCTCTTCACGAGCGCCCACTCCTCGTGTGCTCCCTGTAAAATTTTCGGAGCTAACGCCATCTCCCCGCAGGTGATATCAGCACCATACTCTTTGCAGATTCTTCTGAAAGGCAAATTGCCCACCGTTGTCAGCGGACTCAACATTATTTTATTCTTCCAATCTATCTTTTTCTTTTCTGACTCTCTACATTTTACTAGATCGTAGTCCTCCACCGGTCCAAGCTTCTTCTCTGCATCTATTTCAGACTCTTTGTCAGCTTCATTTGTTTCACCTATACCTGTGGATTGTTCTGTCTCATTTTCTGTGTCCACCTTCTTTCTAGACGGTCCATTCGCTTTGACAATTTTTTCAGCTTTGGAGAAGTTGTACTTGTGCTTCCTCAGTACGATTTGAAGATCTTTCGCCAAGTGGTTCTTAGTAGAGGGGGGCCTTTCCTTGAAATCTTCCAACTTTTGTGTATCCACGATGTTCAAGCCATCCTTGGTCAAGTGCTTAGAGCCTACTCTACAGGCAGCACCCCTTGGACACCTGCCAGTCAGATTAAACAGATAACATTCTGTTCCAATATCATCTGGCTTTATTTTTAAATACTCGATTCTATCATGCAGAAATGTGCAGTTTTTATTATCACATTTTTTCTCTGGTTTGTCCACAGTTTGATCCGCTATCCGCGGACACAAGTTGACCTGACGCTGTGCCTTAAAAGGAGCAGGCCTGGCTTTGTTCTGGCCTCTAAGCTTTTCCTTCTTGTCATTCTTAAACCTTTTATTCGGAGGCTCATTGACTGTGACCGCATCTTCCTTTGCATTATTCGCATTGTCTACCGCCTTCTGGTTTTCGTTTTCCGATAAGCTCTCCTCCTTCGAAAGTCTAACGTGATCTTCAAGAATATATCTGCAGCATAATTAATACAATTAGTAACACGTTACCAATGGTTTAATAGTAACCACACGGTTGCGAGAAATAGAAAATGTGTGATTATTTCGAAATATAATTATTCTAATGAAAGGGGGATTTCTCGAGAATGCGTTAAATTTTACTCACTCCGTTTTAATTAGGCACACTCCTTTCTGTTTATCTTCGCTGTAGTCAAAGGAACATTCATCGGTACATTTCTCACTGTACGTCGCCATTTCAAGTCGATCGATACATCGCATGCCGGCATTTTGAATTTTTCATTTCAAATATGACCGTTATCTTTACACACTCCGATGGCGGCCATTTTAAATCAACTTCCAGCGAATCCTCCAACAAATTCCATCACATCTTTTAGTCTATACAGATTAATATCACCATGACACAATGCTGAAACACAGGGCGTCCCAAACCACTATGCCACCTTATGCCACCCCCATAAAAATAACGGGAACAGTGATTCCCATGGGATCTAACACGCTACGATACTTCTAACTTCAAATATCAACTAACAATGGCCTATTAACTACTATACATCAGAAGTCGAATTCCTCACATAATAATTTGTCATAAATCCCCGTAACTCCACTTTGCGCCATTCTGATAAGTGTTGAAGCATACCGTGCACTTTCCATTTTATAAACTGTTGGTAAAACGTACCGGCAGACGGTAGTTTTAAGATACATTCAATTGATTATAATGGAAACGTTGAACTGTAACCTTCTGTTTTGCAAGTTAATTGTCATTTCATTTCAAAGATTGGGTACAATGGAGGGGCGATACGATGGCCTTCAGGGCCACGCATGTACACTTCTAATACTTGCGCGCACGTGCTTTGCCCACACTACCACTAAAAACACGTTACATATGAACCGCTGCCAAGTTTTTCTGCATGGAGGCACCGACGATTATTTGCCGTCGGCAAATCCCAAACGCATAAAGACAATCAGGAGGAGCCTATTCCGTCGGCGCAGGTCAACGCAATGAGTCGTTTTGATTAGTCTTATCAGTGAACGGCGTGGAGCACTTCACTCCGGTAAGTCCATGTGCTTAGGCTCTCGTAGAGATACGCTAGAATCGCAGGCATACTAGATCGTGTCGGCGATCCACGTACGTCGTGTCATAAATCATTGATTGGCTCGAGCGAATTGTATAAGCACGATCAAACTGAAGCGAGGATTCCAGTTTCCGTGGGCTTGTTCGTTGACAATAATTACTTCTGTGATGAAGAACCGGCATCAGAATCACGTCGGAGAACCTTTTTGCTGTGATGTCTAAATTACTATTGTGTGATCATATTGCATGAATTATGTACATCAGTCGATTACCAAGTGTTGCAACACGTGCAAAAATTTGCGGGACATTATTGAAGTTTGCGGCACAGTATGATGTTGAATATTTCCTTTTTGTGAATGAAAAACGATTCGTAGAAATCTATCATGGATTTAACGACGTTTATCGTGATCGACGATGTTGTTTACCCGCAACGGAGTTGATTAATTTTTACGTAGACGATGTGGGACGCATTGTTTGAGACAATTAAAGTGTGATTGGTGTGCAGAGAGAAGAAAAGTCCAATGTGTCAATGGTAAAGTTGTATAACGTCTATTCTTGGTAGTGGCAGAGGTAAATATTACTTCAGGCACACGATAAAAGTATAAAAAGATAAGGGAGATCTTGTGATTCTGATGCAATTTAGTTGATTGTATTGTGACTTGAAAATATATTTTATTCCTTTCAATTTTATATTTATGAAAAGGCTGTAACAGTAACTTTGTGCATTTGATCTTAGAGATGGTTGGAACAACTGATTTACAATGGCAGGACTATTTAGTTGTGGCAGCTACACTGATCATAAGCATAGGGATCGGTATCTACTACCGGTTCAGTGGTGGTCAACAAAAGACTGTGGAGGTAATTGTTTCTATACTTCTATGGACTAAAGTTAATCGTTCAGTTTTAATACTGATATGGTTTTTACAGGAGTACTTCATAGCTAGCAGATCCATGAGCATTGTACCTGTTGCAGTAGCACTTGTGGTGTCCTTTATGTCTGCCATCACTTTATTAGGTGTCTCTGCGGAGAACTATACATACGGGACACAGTTTGTAGTAATTAATATAGCCTACCTCATTGGAACACCTATCGTATGTTATGGATTTTTACCAGTATTCTACAAGCTTCAGGCAACAAGTGTTTACGAAGTACGTATCAACAAGTATATCATTAAGAAAACATCGTGGGACATTGTATTTAAAACATTTATTTCTGGTCTAGTATTTAGAGAAACGCTTCGGAGTAAGAGCTAGGATGATGGCAAGTTTTGTATACTGGATCCAATTGCTTTTATATTCAGGTGTTGTACTGTATGCACCTGCTTTAGCATTAGAAGCCACCACAGGAATCTCTAAGACTGGCAGTATCATTATCATTGGACTAGTCTGTGCTTTCTATTCGAGCATAGGAGGCATCAAAGCAGTCCTGATAACGGACGTGTTCCAAGGTTTACTTATGTTCGTTGCTGTTTTTATTATTATCGGTACCGCAGCGAATGAAGTCGGAGGACTAAATGAAATTTGGCGTATAGCGGAAGCTGGTCATAGAATCGAATTTGATAGGTGAGAGTGTTTGGTATAAAAGCCTCTATCTCTGTTAGAAAACTGAAGAAATATTTTTACAGTATTTCTGCAGACCCAACAGTTAGACACACATGGTGGTCTCTGATCATCGGTGGTCTGGGAACATTTCTATCATTGTACGGGGTGAATCAAGTACAAGTGCAACGTTTGTTGACAGTGAAGTAGGTATAGCTGCAAATAAACCGAGAAGAAAACGCTGGAGAGAATGCTGTTACCAATACTTTCAGGGATATGAAAGCAGCCCAGAAGGCACTTTGGATAGCATGGCCAATTTTGACTGTACTTTCAATGACTACGTGTTTCTCAGGACTGGCAATATATAGTAAATATCACGACTGTGATCCGCTTAAACAGAAGAAAATAACGTCAACCGATATGTTGATGCCGTATTACGTTATGGAAACAATGTCCGATAAGCCTGGCCTGCCAGGTCTCTTCATAGCAGGTAAAATAACGTTGAACTAAACAAATTTGCCTAGTCGTATTTTATTTCCGCATGTAGAGCGACACGTGAATATTGATCAGCTTTATGTTTGACTTTTGCTTAGGTATTTTTAGTGCTGGCCTCAGCACAATTTCGGCGGCATTGAATTCCTTAGCTGCAGTAACGTTAGAAGATTATTTAAAACCTGCGTACAAAAAATACCGTGGCAGCGATTTTTCTCTTACAGCCACGACGACCATAGCTAAATTGCTTGCTTTCCTGTTTGGAATTATTTCCATTGCTTTGGCGTTTTTAGCTCAATTATTGGGCGGCGTATTACAGGTGATTGCTGCAGTAATTAAACGCCTGTGTCGCAATTAATGCTCGAAAATTACTAAATATTATTTAAACTTGACTTATAGGTCAGCCTCACTATATTTGGTGTAGTGGGAGGTCCACTTTTGGGAATCTTTACACTGGGAATGCTAACTGAATCAGCAACAGAGACTGGATCTGTGATTGCTACTGTCAGTTCGCTAGTCTTCCTATTCTGGATTGCTTTTGGTCAACCCAGGCCAAATGCACCAACCTTGCCAGTATCTATCGCAAACTGTGATGCCAACTCATCTATATACACCATGAGTCAACCTGCCCCATTGACTGGGTAAGTAGATCTACTCGTGCTACCTTAAAATTCCCGGTTCCCATAAGTAGCTCACCTAAGTTGTCGCTGTTCTCTCATTTCAGGCCAACAGGAGACTCGTCCTACTTTTACCTGTACAGGATCTCATACATGTGGTACGCTCCTCTTGGATTCGTGATCACATTTGTCCTAGGCCTGGCGCTTAGCTATCTATTTAAGGTGCTGTTGAAAGAACAGAAAGCCGAACAGAAGGATCCGTATCTGTACTTTCCTGTGATAGGGAACCGCATTCGTCGCAGACTAGCGATTTTAAACGGCAATGAATGCAGTCTAGAGACCGACACAGCGAAGTACATGTTCTCTGTTAATAACGAGGACGAAGTAACCAGCACCACCAAAATATAGCATGTGATCGTATATTATAGTACAATCGTTTTTAAACGAATTTTTGTTTCTTTTTTTTTGTATACCGTATGATAGTTTAAACATTCCACAAATGGCTGACGGTAACTTAATTGGATACTTTTCACATCCACGCGTCGTACTTAATCGGGATCTGTTTCTGGATACGCTGTTTTATAATCCAAGGGGTTGGGGGGGACTTCCCTGAACTCGTATAGAGACTGTTATAGTTTCGAAGGTGCTGTTACGGTCTCAGGGAAGTAGAAATGTATTTTTAAATATGTTTACTTAAGAAACTAGGCATTATGTAGATACTGTTAATAACATTGTTGTTCCATGTTGTTACGTGAATGTCTGTCGAGAGTGTCTACAACTTTTCGTTCCAAAACTGCCATTTTTCTAGCTTTTCTACTTTTCGAATGCAACGTGCAAGCCCGTGTGCAAGCTCTCATCCCGACTTAAACAGTATATTTTCGACGTGATCGTACTCTCTACCGGCACATATTGTACTGTAATGAATGTTTGATGACCGCTTATACAGCAATGCCATTTTCGCCTAACCGAAACGACGACAATGAGTGCCAAAAAACGTAAAAGAAGAAAAAAAAAACTGTTTCGATTTGTCGCTACGCGTGCTATATTGCATAACAAAATGTTGCGATATATATTTTTCATACGATCGGCACAACAACAAAGTATTACTAGCGTCTAAAGTTTAGCGATTATCGTCACGTACACCGCGATGTGTACACCGTGTTCACCGTCACGTGACGCCGATACGATGTTCAATAAAGCACTGTATACATGTAAAAATGCACACGGTGTGTGCGCGCGTGTTTTGTGTTTGCACGAAAGAAATTCAACAATGCCCGTTCTGTCCGCCCTGTTATCGTTCCGTCTTGTTGAAGAACGGCAATTAAGCAGCGGTAACGATAATTTGCCGGTTATAAATGGTCGAACGACTGTCAGCAATTGGAATTACCGTGCCAGATAAATCCACGCTGCGTCACGTAATTACCAATTACCATGGTAAATTCCCTTTACGTTATCAATGTTACCGCTTAATCGAAATCGTTATCGAGCACAGCTGTTTTCTTGCGAAAAAAGAATTCGTCGCCCTATTGGCCAACCGTTTTCCTTATTTACTTCTCCGATTATTCCATATTAAGAATGACTCATTTCGATAGAGCGTGGTGGTATTTATTTTATTAACGGTACTGCGTGCGATCCTTTCTGCTAGAATCCAAGGATACCGGCGAGGGGGAGAGCTCGACCGAGGAAATGGAAACGATACTCTGCTGTGTGAAAGAAGGACAGTCTGAGGTGCTTCTGAAAAGAATACCGACCAGCTCGGATCAAACTACCGGCGGCCAGTTGAAACCAGTTTCAATTTGTCCGCGGCCTGCGCTTCTATCGACGGCATGGGGCTCTTTTTAATTATTTTTTTCCCCAGCGAAACTCGTACACTGTTATCCACGTCGCCTTAGTCAACTGGCAATTAATCCATCAAGAAATCCAGTTGGACGTTCCCGTCTTTTCTTGGCCGAGGTGTCGAATGCCCAGCCTCATGCTGCTCCAGGCCAACCCTGAGGAGCCTGGGAAAGGCTTCGCGCAGCCATGCAGAACGACTCGAGAAAATTCCATCCTTAATTCACGATCTCCTTGATCACTTCTAATTCTTGTCAATCAATCGCGACTGCCGATTAAATATATCACCAGAGTTTAGGATTGCCAACGATTCCATTTGTGCCTTTTCCGCCGGCTCATGGCAATCCTAGACAACTCTGACAATCTTGAGAAAAGCTGTAATCTCGCTATGAAATATGAAAATATTATTAAATTCCATTTTCCCGCCGTTTATTGCGGTCAGCCGGAATCCGATCAAACTCTCTGACACTTCTGTTTGTTTTCATGGGGCTCCGTGGCACCCTCCCAGCCCCCTCGACCTCGCCGAGCACGTAGTTTTGTGTTGTGCCTGTGGACAGCCACGAGTTTCGCGGTTTAACGGTTTCCCCCTCACCGATTTTTCAAGGCATTATGCCATTAATGTTCGAGAAACAAATACTGCAGACTCTGATAAACGTTGCCGAGCTTACGGTTATTTGCCGGGTCAAGGGTGAAAATAGAAGGGAATTCAAAAGGGGCTCGTTTTTCTGCCGGCGAAAATCGTTCTGGGAGATGCAAAGGTGGCTGCGAGTGGTTCTAACAGTGTTCCAGTGAAGCGAAGATATTTGTTCAACGAGAAAGTAAGAGACACTTCAACTTCAGCGGTCCTAGAACGTTTTTTCATTGTAACGTGATCGTTGGACTGCAGGTCTCTATGCAAAATAAATATAATGAAATATATAATAAATATATAAAATAAATATAATAAAATAAATATAATAAAATATTTAATAAATATAATAAAATAAATATAATATGTCCAAGACGATTGCGAGAAACAGAAGTTAGATAAACATGAATTGTTTCTTTCAATTATTCGAATAAACTGAAAACCCTGCAACTGTATTATCAAGTTGACAATTTTATATCTCGGCTAGACGCTTTTGCAATAAATGCATAAAATCCGCAGTCGAGTTATTTCGTGGAATAACATCGTCGAGTGGTGTGTCGGGTCGATTTTGATTCAGCATTATTGACTGGTGCGTGGTCGAAGACTGTGTTTGGAAGAATTTGATCGGTGTACATACACGGTCATTCATGGGAAGAACGCGCGGTAATTTGTTTAAAATCGCGTGACTCGTCGCGGGTTCCCGGTAGATCGTTACGATATCAATGAAGGAACAAGATTTCATGCGATCGGCTCGTGCCATAACTAACGCACGAGGTTCGCCGTCTTCACTTTCACGCACGTGTTCCCGTGCGCCGTCGAACGACCATTGAATCATTCATTATGCAACTGTTTAGAGCTCGCAGTTCTGGAACAAACAGACGGAACCCGAGATCTCTGGGATATTTTAGGATCTGGTAAACGATCGTTGCGACGTTCCTCGTCAATTGAAAAATTATGTACGGTCAACGGGAAACGCGGGACGCAGACTTTACGAATTTTCTTGTCGCTGGGGATAAAGCAAAAAATATACAAAGTAAAAGTCGAAGTAAATAAAATAATGTAAAAAATGAAGTAAAATGAATGAGAGTAAAAATCAGAATAAATAAAATATTGTGAAAAATGAAGTAAAATGAATGAAAGTAGAAATGAATAAATATAAAGTAAAAATGGATAAAAATAAAGTAAACATGAATAAGAATAAAGTAAACGTGAATAAAAATAAAGTAAAAATGAATAAAAATGAAGTAAAAATGAATAAAGTAGGGTCTGTCGATAGCATTGCTTTTATATTATATTGCTTCGTCGTACATAAACTAATAATTCAAGAGAACCTATAGCTCAACTTGGTCGAGATATTGCACACCGATGCTGTGCACAGCAGTGCCTACATTCACTGGTAAAACTTATGCTAATATATTCACGACACGTGCCCGTACGAACTCTCTTATGCAACCTTCCAAATAGTTCCTTCAAGGTTGAAAGGTTTATCTTACGGAGGCCCTTGGAGTTTATCTTGCCGAGCCGAATCTTCGAGGGAAATTAATTACCTTCAGGGATTTCCGAAAATTACCTAATCCACCTAACAACAAAATTGTTACGTCGCTGATTTATAGAACGAATAATTTAGTAAACAAAAAAGCAGAGTTCTACTACGAACGATTTGCAATGTTCTTTGCAAAGTTTCAACGCGATAAATCCGGATTTATTGTTGAGAATATTTTGAGAGATCAGTTCGAATATTTTTCTTTCGATAAAAAATTCGTGAGAGCTTGTAAATTGAACGTAAGCTTTCTGAAGTATCCAGCGACTCGGCCGAGGCGGATGCTATTTGTTTAAGACGGCGGGGCTGCAGGGGTTAAACGGGCCATTAGAGAGAGTGAGAGAGAGAGAGAGCCGGGACTTTAAGGAAAACGCGTGATCATCGTTTGTTTGCAACCCCGTAAGTTCGAACCGGTTGGATCTTGTTCCCGCTGGCTGGCCACCGCGGATTTCGCGTGTACGTCGATCCGTGAGTCGATTTTCGCGTTCGAATCTGCGGCTGATAGAACAGTGGCCGAACAACCCTCCTTATTGCAGAGAGTCGCGCGATCTTAAACCGGTCACTTCGATCGTATTTTAGTATTCCCGAAACTGCCGATGGATGTCCTACGTGATGGAGAACGTGAGTTCCCTCTGCCGAAAATTGCGGGACAATCGGAAATTTTATTCCACTTTTATCCGGGATTTATCTGTCGTCGAATCGTCGCCGCGGATTTTTGTGCACTTAGCGTGGGATATTCGAGATTCGAAATTGAAAGTTCGCATAATTTTCAACGAACGAACGTTAGTATCTCTTATTACAATTTATGTATGTATATATATAAATAATAACTAATAAATAATAATAAATAATAAAAATAAATAATAATTAATAATGATAATAATTAATAACTAATATAATAATAATAATAATAAATCCAAAATTGTATATTTCACGGTCGTAGTTTACTAATTTTAATAGATCATGCTTAGTATCGACATTATAATTGTACAAATTAAACGAATCGCGTACAAATTACCCAATTTTCCCCAGTGTTCTTTCCTCCTGAAACAAGTGGCCGCTAAAAATCTGAATAAAAAGTGACTTAGGTTTAATAAAGCCTGGTCGAACAGTGGATTTTGTGTCGCGTAGTGATGTCTTTTCATGGGATTAGTGTTGTAGTGTCAATTTGCTCCCAAGATACATCAAATAAATCGTGAATGCATCGAGAAGTCCATTTCTAATTTAAAACGGTCATTCGACTTTTCTTTATGGTTTTCCCCAGTGAAAAAATCTGCTGCGTGTGCAATTACATTTTCTCTAACATTGTATCATTTTCGAAGTAAATCCAAAAATGTCCAACGAAGTTGCTGAGCTCGAATGTTGCTACATTAACTATACCTCGCTGTAAAATATTTATAGTTTATCCTTTTGCAATTTCTCATGCTAAAAAGATGTGTGTATGAAATTTTTTTAGATAATCTTCTTTGCTTACGCACATATAGTCAATAAATGAATTTGAGCTTGAACAATAACTATAAAAACGAGCCGCAAGCTGACCGTCAGTTAGGGAGAATTTACTATATTTAGAGAGAATTTACTATAATTAGAATTTTACTATAATTTACTATAATAGATCATAGTATATTTTATTATTATAGTATATTATCTTATTATTATTATAGCCTATATATTAGACTATAATTCTCTCTAATTATAGAATTTACTATAAATTCCACGAGGTTTAAACAAATTCAAGCATATCATTGTTACAAAATGTCATGCATCGGTAGCGTTTAGGGCTTCGTGGTGTTCTAGTATTGATTAAGATCATGCACAATTTTTCCACATATCATTCGAACAGCTGTCACGGTTGCGGCGTTCTTTTTTCACGAGAAAAAGAAGCCGTTTCCGGCGGGTAAAAGCGGTTCTAATATAGATCTGGATCGCGATGAATACCGGCGAATACCGGGCGGGCGGTGGATCATCTGGACTCCCCGGAAGCGAGTCACCGTTCGATTCACTTTTTTTCCGCGTACAGTCGTTCGCCGGCGTCGATTGTTGTTGTTGTTTCTACGAGTCCTTGTTCGAACAGAGATGAGGAACTTGTCGCGGCGATCCCCGGGAAGGGGCCGGTTCATATAAATGGGCACATGTGACAATTAAAACGGCCAGTCTGAAATCGTTCTCCGTCTTAATCCGAAGCCGGGGTCCCCGTACGGAAACAGAGAAACGAGCAAACGGGAGAGGATCGAGCGTGAAACCGAGCCGGCGGAGCCCTAATTAGTTAATCGTTCCGCGACGGTCCAGCACATCTCGCGAAGCAGCGACCTGTAAATCCGAGCGCACACATATGCGTTACATCAGGAAAATCAGCAAGATCATTCAGCTGCAGTTCCGCACGTTTCTGCCGGGCTTCCGACGCCGAAACGCGCTCCCCTAGGGGCTAGTTCAATCTTCGTTCCCTCCTATTTCCACCCTTCCCGGCTGCTAAGGGCGTCTCCGCGGCCGCCATCTTGCATCCGACGAGGTAAGCACCCTAAAAGGCTCGCGGATTCTCCTGGAGAATCGTCGTCCATTGCCGAAGTGTCGTACACGAATTTTTAAATTGTCTTAATCACCGTCAATTCGGCCATCTTTTACCGATTAGCTTAATTGCTTTTTTAAGGAGGTCGTCGCAATTATTGATAGGCCTAAATGGTTGTGTAGCGGCTAATTAGCTCTTCCTCGTGTTGCTAGAAAAAGATGATTTCTATTTGTCCGTGTCATTAGAAGCGACGCCGAACGACTATCTGCGGGAGAGATGACTTTCTCGGGGTTTATCACGTTTACATTGTTATTTATGGTTATTTTAATTGTTTAAACAGTTGGATGTTCTTATATTGTATCTGAGGGGTAGCCAAGTTGCAAGTGCAGTGAAGAAAGAAGCGATTCTCATTTAGATATTACAGGAATTCTGAAAGGGAGGTTCGCTGATAGATCGGGAAACATTTTCTTTCGCTTGTAAAGCAATAAGAAATAATGTTTTACGCGCCTCGGTACATCGAAATGCATGTTCGAATGTAGTATAGGCCTGGTACAATGTTTTCAGCAAAGCAAAAAGTATTTAAAAAATTCTGGAATGCAAAAATCCTGGGCCCCCAAGTGCACTTCCGGTTTGCACTTCAGATTCTCGGTGCGATAATAATTATTCTTGCGGGGAATTCAATTGTTACAACGGACGTAGATTGTTTACAGAAGAGTTTGTTTATGGTTCAATCGATAATAATTCTCTCAGTGAAGTTATAGTTTATTATTAACCCTGTTATAAATTGTACGATTAAAATTGACAGTTTGTTGAAGAAATCGTTTGAAAATATGATTATCTGCATACGTTGAAAATAATAGATACGATGGAAATGGTTAACGATCAAACTGTTAGTGGCAAAAAAAACGATATCAATGTTAATAAATTGTATAAAAATTCGGAGAATTAATTCGTTATAATTTTTCTTTCTGCAGAGTCAAATTTTCGATTAATAATATCCTTTAAATATAGGAAGAACATGTAATCTAAAGAAAATCGGATAAATAAAAGTAGACAAAATATATAATATAAATAAAAAAAGTTATATTATTTAAAATCCATATTACGACATAATTTAAAAGATAAGATTAAATTTTATCGCAATGCTCGACATTGCGGTGTGTGTTTGTACTGGAATTAAAAAAAAAGCGTTGTAAATTCAAATGAAAAGAGCGTCTCGTTTAAAAATCGTGTTTCTCGTGGTAAACGAACCGAAAATTGATTGCCCGCTATCAAAGGTCCAATGGTCAGCCACGAAAGCAGATTCTATGAGGAAAAAAGTTGCGCTCGCGTTTCGGTTCGACGACCGAATCCGGCTGGTTTCAACAAGAAACGATATTTGACTATGATTAACGCCGGCCGATAATGTTCGCGTTAAGAAAAGCATTTACGAAATTGTTCGAGTTACTTTATCGGCCGCATATTATCGTCGGGGAACATCGCGCGAAGGACGTTCAAGTTCGCGCGCATAAGTTGAAGTTTAGCCGACGCGGCGATCGTGAAGTATAATGAGCGCGATCCGCGGGACTCGAAGACCCTCTTGCGTAATCAATTTCCTTACGGAAGTGTTGTTTGTCTCGTTTTTTTTCTAGGGTTTCATAATTTCTCGAAAATTGTGAAAGTCGGGCGTGGCGCGCAAGAGCCGTTCGTATCAGCGTAGAAAATGGAAAATTATGAAACTACTAGACCCGTAACGGTGTCCGAGACGACCGGTTTCATCCAGTGTCAGCCAGATTCCTTAATGACGATCGAATGTCCGCGTTAATAGCCACGATGGCGGTACAAATCTTCCTAAACAATTATACCCAATGGCGGGACGCCTCGCTCAATAATCGTAACGTGCTCGAGCTAAGGAAGATGTCATGTTTTGCTTATGTAAGGAAGAATCGGCTCACGACACTGTGCACACCGTGTACACACGTTGGATCGATGGTGCATCCACGCTGAAGAATTTCATCAATTTTAATTCTCGTGATTTTTAATTTTTAATTTTTAATTTTCAATTTTTAGTTTTTAATTTTCTTCAATTTCAATTATTCGTTCTAAATCAAACAGATGCAGAAATGCTCTAAGGTGATGAATTCCAGTTGACATAATTATTCTAAATTAACTGAAACATTTCATCAATTTTAATTCTCATAATTTTTAATTTTTAATTTTCTTCAATGTCAATTATTCGTTCTAAATCAAACAGATGCAGAACTGCTCTAAGATGATGAATTCCAGTTGACACAATTTTTCTAAATTAACTGAAACATTTCATCAATTTTAATTCTCATAATTTTTAATTTCTAATTTCTAATTTTTAATTTTTAATTTTCTTCAATTTCAATTATTCGTTCTAAATCAAACAGCTGCAGAAATGCACTAAGATGACGAATTCCCGTCGATTTTAATTCTGAAATCATTTTCCCGCGAAACTTCGACGATTCCTTAAACCGCGGACGTCCGCTTAATTTATTCGATTGCGAACTTTTCGCAAGTTGAGAGCTCCTGGCACAATACAAAGCGGATGATTTTATTGATTCTGATTTATCGGAACGAAATTTCCGACGGGAACAAGTCGACGCGCGATGAAACGGAGAAGGTTCAATTACATCGTGCGGCCGCGCGATCAATCTGGATCGCAGGGAATCGATGATCGATCCTGCCCGCCTCACGTGATTGTACGTCCGGCGGTAGAATATCGATCAAATGCGGCGCAAGGTCTTCGAATGCCAAGTACAATCTCCATTAATCTCTTCGTATCGTCTTTCAAAGTCAATATCACGATTGCATAAAAAAAGAAAAGAAAAAGAAACATATTGTTCCACGAGATCGTGATTTCTATCGGATCGTTTTTGCACTGTTTTCCTATTTCCGCAGCTACTGAAAAATGCCGGCGCGTTTGTTCGGCCTGTTCCTCTTCCTGGCCGTGTCCTCGGCGTCTTCGGAACAACGGCCGTCCGACTATGTGGACGAGAAATGCATGCAGAAGCATCCTGTTTTGTTGCACTTCTTCTCCTGGGTGGACTACCTGGTGTTGGCCGCCATGTTGGCCATCTCCTGCCTGATCGGCACCTTCTACGGTTTCTTCTCCAAGAAGCAAGAAACCAGCGAGGACTTCCTGTTGGGCGGGTCCAGCATGGGCACCTTCCCCATGGCGATGTCCCTGGCGGCCAGCTTCATCACGGCCATTGAACTGTTGGGGAACCCTGCGGAGATGTACGCACAGGTACTTCAAAGACTTCGAAGGTTTCGAAGACATCCGAAGTCTGCAAAGACGATCTAATATCGTCGAAGACATCGTGAGTCGTCGAAGATGTCTGACATCTTCGAAGACGTCCGAAGTCTTCGAAGACATCCGATCTCTTCAAAGACATCTGAAGTATACAAAGACATCTAGCAACGTCGAGGACATCTTAAGTTGTCAGAGACATCTAATATCTTCAAAGACATCCGAAGTCTTTAAAGACATCTGGAGTCTTTCAGAACGTATGATGTATTCGAAGACATCCGGAGACTTCAACGATGTGTCTGAAGTCTTCAAAAATATCTAAAGTTTTTAAGAACGTATGATGTATTTGGAGACATCCGGAGACTTCAACGATATCTGAAGTCTTCAAAGACATCCGGAGTCTTCAAAGACGTCTGAAGTCTTTAAAGACATCCAACGTCTTCAAAGACATCTCTGAAGTCTTTAAGAACACATGATGCATTCAAAGACATCCGGAGACTTCAAAGACGTCTGAAGTCTTCAAAGACATTCGGAGTTTTCAAAGACATCCAAAGTCTCCAAAGACTGACTTCAAAGACGTCTGAAGTCTTCAAAGATATTCGGAGTTTTCAAAGACATCCAAAGTCTCCAAAGACTGATGTATTCAAAGACATCCGGAGACTTCAAAGATATCTGAAGTCTTCAAAGACATCCGGAGTCTTTAAAGACATCCGGAGTCATTAAACACATCCGGAGTCTTCAAAGACGTTGGAAGTCTTCAAAGACGTCCGAAGTCTCCAAAGACATCTCTGAAGTCTTTAAGAACACATGATGCATTCAAAGACATCCGGAGACTTCAAAGACGTCTGCAGTCTTCAAAGATATCTGAAGTATATAAAGACATCTAACATCGTCGAAGACACCTTAAGTTGTCAAAAACATCTAACATCTTCTGAACATCTTCTAACATCGTCCGAAGTCTTCAAAGACATCCGAGGTCTTTAAGAACATACGATGTATTCAAAGACATCCGGAGACTTCGAAGACGTCCAAAGTCTGCAAAGACATCTTCAAACACGCCCCAGCCTCGAAAAACACCTAAATCCTTCAATCCCCTCCAAACAATTGATCCGGATACTCAAAAATTAGGGGACGCAGTTCTGGATGACCTGCGTGGCCTTCATCCTGGTGGTCCCGATCACCTCGCACCTGTACCTGCCGGTGTTCATGAAGCTGCGGCTGACCTCCAGCTACGAGTATCTGAACCTCCGGTTCGACCGGCACTGCAGACTACTCGCCAGCGGGTTGTACATGCTGCAGATGATCCTCTATACGTCCGTCGCGGTGTACGCGCCCGCGTTAGCTTTAAGTCATGGTGAGTCCGTCGAGTCCTCCAATCACGAAGTGTCCCTGTAAAACGTCTTCGATCTTCTTGCAGTCACTGGTCTGAATACTTACATAGCCGTCACTCTAGTCTACGTAGTCTGTATCTTCTACGCCTCGCAGGTAGGTAAATCCTCTTCGGACACCTCGAAGTAGGTCTCCTCTCGCTGGAGAACGTTGGAGGAGGTCGCCTCTCGCTGGAGGACCTTGGAGGAGCCAGCTAATTCGATGCTTTTGCACAGGGTGGTATGAAAGCTGTCATAATGACGGACACGTTCCAAGCAGCGGTGCTACTGGGCTCCCTGTTTCTGATCGTCAGCTACGGCCTGGTCTGGCAGGGTGGTCTGGCCTCGGTCTGGGGCGTGAACCAGGCCTCGGGCCGCATGGAGTTCTTCAATATGGACCCCAAGCCCACCGTGAGGCACAGCTTCTGGAGCGTGGTGATCGGCGGGACCGTCTACTGGACCACCATGTTCTGCAGCAACCAGGCTTCCGTCCAAAAGTACCTAAGCGTGGAGACCATCGGCCAAGTGAGAACGTAGGTAGATCCTCCGATAAAGTCGATAAATCTCGAAGAGTACGTAGAACCGATGGCTCACTGCCGATTATACGATTTCGACTTCAGGGCGCTGTGGGTGTCGGCCTTCGGCATGATCATCATCTACAGCGTGAACTTCTTGACCGGTATGGTGCTCTACAGCACTTACAGAGACTGTGATCCTCTATCCGCAGGCCACATCAGTGGCCAGGATCAGCTGCTGCCTCTCTACGTGATGAACTTCATGGGCAGCCTGAAAGGCGTGCCTGGCTTCTTCGTTGCCGGCATCTTTGCCGCTTCTTTGGGGTCAGTTCCTAAGGTCCTAGGTTGTTCTGGCATCATCTAGACATTGTTACAGACGTTGATCGTGAACGTTACAGGACCGTGGCCAGCGCGCTGAACTCGCTTGCAGCGATCACTTGCGAGGACATCCTGCAGGGAGTGTTCAAGATCAACTTGCCAGCCAGCAAAGGCGCCATCTATGCCAGGTGGATCAGCGTCTTCTTCGGCGCCTTCAGCTTCGCCTTGGTTTTCGTCGTCGAACGGCTTGGCAGTGTTCTCGAGGTGCTTATTCTATCTCATTCGGCTCGCTAGATCCATCGATCTAGATTATAAGGTCGGAGTTGAGTGAAATGGCGCGCGAACAGTTTGCCCAAAGGGATCTAAAACCGAGTACAGTAATGTCTCTCTAATTGACGCTCAGATCGTCCACAAAAATGAACAATTTGGGAAGAGGAGACACGATTATTCGAGACTTGCAGCTCGTTTTTACAGTTGCCAACAATCGATAACCATAAAAAAACGAGCCACAAGGCTTGAACAATCGTATCTCCTCTTTCCAAATTGTCCACTTCCGTGGACAATCTGAGCGTCAATTGGAAAGACATTACTGTACTAAGCGAAACCGATGTTCCAGGTTGCCTTATCGTTCAACGGCATGGTCGGAGGCATCACCCTGGGATTGTTCTCGTTGGGCATGTTCGTCCCCTGGGCGAACGGCAAGGGGGCAATCTCGGGCGCCATCACCAGCCTGGTCGTGATCCTGTGGATCGGCCTGGGGGCGCAAATTGCAGTCCTGAACGGGCTGATCCATCTGGACAGCAAGCCCGTGTCGATAGACGCTTGCCCCTGCATCAACAGCACGGACATCGATGGCAACCATTCGGCCGACTACGTCGACGACGTCTCCGCGATTTACAAGGTAGGCTATCCGCCGAGGAACACCCTAGGGTGACCCAGCCGTACCCGGCAAACGGCCTAATAACGCAGGTTCAAACGGAATCCATAATTCCGGCGATGATCGTTAGCAAACCGAATCGATAATTCCGTCGGTCATTAGCAAACCGAATCCCTCAAAGCATTAATTCCCGCACAGATCAGCTACCTGTGGTACAGCGGGATCGGCTGTCTGCTGACGATGCTGGTGGGTGTCGCTGTCAGCTACGTGACAGGGTTCCAAGACCCAGCCGACCTCGACCAGGACCTCCTCTGCCCTCTGATCGCCTCCATGTTCTGCGTGAAGAGCAAGCCGAACGCCAACAACGTCCAGGGCATCATGAACTTCGGCCTGGAACTGGACGACGAGAAGGCGCAGCCGGACACCGGGAAAAGTCCCAAGTGAAGCGGCCCGGCCGACCGAAATCAGTATTCGAAACGAACGCGTTACAGTCATTTTCTATTTCGAGCCTTTTAGGGCGCGTAGATTACCGTGCTGTGTCCGCGAGGATCCTCAGACTGCATACGTTCGCCTCGGCACGGTACAGTAACTTCTCCCCGATTCGCGGTCAGGTTAAGTACGAAAATGGACAATCCGGGAAGAGGAGATGCGATTGTGAGAGCCTCGTGTCTTTGTTTTATACTCGTCGACAAACTTGTTAAAAAAAGGGGCGCCTACTACTTTTGTCGAAGTTTCAAATTCTCGTCACAGCTTGCCGCGCGCTGCTTCTTCGAACAATTTTTTCGACGAAAATGAATTATACACGGAGAAAGCAGAGATTTCAGGCTTTACAATGAGCTCAGTCTCGTTGTTCTACGATTTTTATTCGCGAAGTTATGGTATTTCGAATATCGTCGATGTTTCGTAGGTCAGAAATTTCGTGTACAGTCTAGAACGAGGTTCTCCCATTTACTGTGTCGCGAATAAATTTTGTTAAGGAAATCGACGGACGGCCTCCGAAAGCAGACACTTCGGGCTTTAAAATGAGTTTAGCTTCATTGTTCTACGATTTTTATTCACAAACTCACAGTATTTTGAATATCGTCGATGTTTCGAAGGTTAGAAATTTCGCGTAAAGTCTGAAACGAGATTCTCCCGTTTACTGTGTCGCGAATAAATTTTGTTAATGAAATCGACGGACGGCCTCCGAAAGCAGACACTTCGGGCTTTAAAATGAGCCTAGTTCCATCGTTGTATGATTTTTTTGCACGAAGTTATAGCTGTTCAAATATCGACAATTTTTTCGAAAATTTGTTACTTCGATGAAAGTAGCGGACGGCTCTTAGTCACCGATTGTCAGCAACTATAAAAACGAGACGCAAGGCTCGATTAACCGTATCTACTCTTCCCAAACTGTCCACTTTTGTGCGTAATCTGAGCGCGAATTAGAGAGAAATTATTGTAATTTCTCCCAGATTGTCCGTTCACTCCGGTACGAAAATGGACAACTTGGGAATAGAAGACACGATTCTTCGAGCCTCGCGGCCCGTTTTTACAGTTTCCGATAATCGCGTCCCCTCCTCCCAAGTTGTCTATGTTCGTTTCCAAGCTGTGGGATAATGCCGGAGAAATCACTGTGCTCGTTGAGCACGATCGTAAACGATCGGCCACAGCGTAGACCTAGTGTTTTAAGTTTTAATCGTTCGAACTTCGACACTGGCGGGTCCATCCTCGCGATGCTCCCCTCGTCCAGGTCTCCGTTAGACTTCAGGAGTTCATTTCGGATGGGTCGATGTCCCATCGTATAGGTCCGTTCCGATCGTGGCGGCGGACTTTACTGCAGGCACACTTTTAAAGTCTTTGATCACAGAAGATTATTCAGTACTTACTCGAATCACCGCCGCCACGATTCGAAAATAATCCGGGACCGTTTTACTAGGACATTAGACTTAACGTTACTTTTTAGTTACCCGCCCCACCCCCCTCCATCCCCTCCGTCGCACAGCGACGCCCGCCAGGAAAGGTCGTCGCTGTTTTTAAAGCGTGTTTTTAGCATATCGTCGTCCGAAGCGTTCTTTTTTTTAAAAGTAATTTATTTTTTAAAAGGTTAAGCGAAACCGGCTCCCCGCGACTCTCGAAACGAATTTTACACGAATAAAGTTCCGTTGGAGGTGTTGATCGCGGCAGGGCGGCAAGGATCGTTCGTCGTTCCACTGCGGATTTGTGTACTTCGTTCATGGTTACCTTTAATTTAATATGCGGACGGATTCAGAGTGTATGTGTCTCTGTGCGTGTGTGTTTTGCGTGTGCGCGCGCCTGTTCCGTCGACGATCCGTCCGCGCGTCGTTTTACCGTTCAGATGATATTGTCGTCGCAAGCTGTTTGTCTCTCTGGATACCTGTTTGTACATAAAGAGAAAATATACGAGGTCGATTACCTCATCGCTGTCGTCTGTTTACATTCCCCAGCGTGTCTTGCGAACAAAGCGGTCTACGAAGTAAGAAGCGTCACGAGGATCGTCGCGCGCGGAACGTCGCGAGAAAATTCTCTGAGATTGTCGCTCAGCTTGTACAAACAAAAATGGACAATTTCGGAAGAGGGGCTGTGATTATTCGAGCCTCGCGGCTCTGACACGACAAGGAAAATTCCACGAATTCAAAGCGATAGTACTGATGAATTGCGATATGTTCTCGTGGGGCTATTTCTATGCAATTTAGCTTAAACGAAAGCTAAAAGTGTTTACTTCAAGGCAGGATAGATTATATTGCAATAGAACGACGAGATAATTTTGAAAAATTAAAAGGAATCGGCCTCTGACGTCATGGGAATATCAAGATTGAAGAGGAAAAGTTCAGAAGAATTTTAAGATGCGTTCTCATGGGGCTATTTCTATGCAACTTAGCTTAAACGAAAGCTAAAAGTGTTTACTTCAAGGCAGGGTATATTATATTGCAATAGAACGACGAGATAATTTTGAAAAATTAAAAGGAATCGGCCTCTGACGTCATGGGAATATCAAGATTGAAAAGGAAAAGTTCAGAAGAATTTTAAGATGCGTTCTCGTGGGACTATTTCTATGCAATTTAGCTTAAACGAAAGCTAAAAGTGTTTACTTCAAGGCAGGATAGATTATATTGCAATAGAACGACGAGATAATTTTGAAAAATTAAAAGGAATCGGCCTCTGACGTCATGGGAATATCAAGATTGAAGAGGAAAAGTTCAGAAGAATTTTAAGATGCGTTCTCGTGGGGCTATTTCTATGCAACTTAGCTTAAACGAAAGCTGAAAGTGTCTACTTCAAGACAGGGTGGATTAGATTGCAATTATATAATAAGCTCCGTTCGCCTCGACGACTGCAAGTTATTATATCTCCATCCAAGAAAACGCGAACCAACTTATTACACGATCTAACAGCTACCGGGTGACAACAACTAAGAAAACGCGAACCATAAGGCTCGAATAATCGCATCTACCCTTCCCAAACTGTCCATTTTTGTTTCCAATCCGAGGGACAATTTCAGAGAATTTACTATACTTCGAAACGGCAGACCAATTCCCAGCAATTAGAAGGAGAGCGGCCGGGGAGTCTAGTCGGCCGAGGAAAATCGAGGAGAGCCGGGGATAGTCGTCCGCCGGAGCGAGAGAGAGAGAGAGGGGGAGAGAGAGGGAGACGGAAAGAGAGAGAGAGAGAGAGAGAGAGAGAGAGAGAGAGAAGGGCAGAGAGAAAGGCCACGACAGTGAAAGTGGATCAATACCCCGTTAACGTTTCGCCAGGCAACGTGCGTGCGGAGAGTACGCTGTCTCTCCGGCAGTCTCGCTTATTTTTCAACGGAGGACAGTCGCGACTCGGCCGAATCCACAGTGTCATCATCGGCGAATACGCGACAACTATTGTCCAGTTCATTGTCTCACTGATGCCCAGTTTCTCCTCGACGAGCCGCAGTGAAATCGCGTTGACAAATCAGAGAAAGCTGCTGGCCAGCTAAAACGGTCGTCGATGGCCTGAACGCGATGTGCTCGGGGAAACGTAGAAAAGTGGTCGACAGTGTGGTTTTTGCGTTGACGATGGAGTCTCCTGCACCATCCTGCGTGGTCTTCTTCGAGCTGGCAGAGTGGTAGACGAACTGAATGGAGGAGAGAGACGGTTTCCGGGGACCAATGGCCAGGCCGCGATTTCTCTGAAGATCGTTCATCGGATTCGCTGAGATGCACCTCTCTTATTTCGTGAGTCGCCCGTTATTATTAGTTCACGATTATCAGACCGCGGATCTTTATGCAAATTAGGAACCGTCCGCGCCTGTCGCGAAGAGCAGGAGCGACTTTCGAAGTAGACCGCGAACTTATCTTCGCGCGAAATTAGAATTGTCTTGGAATCGTCAGCTGCTGCAAAAAATAGGGGCAACTTAAAACATTCGCGCTTTCTCCTGAATAATTTCAGCAGGTCGAAGGTCGCATATCGGCGCTATTAGAAACATTTCAATGTATAATACAATTTAATAATTTTAAAATAACTTCAACGAAAATTTACCCCTCGCGAATTTCTGTCAGAAATGCATAAAATCCGCGGTCGAACGGCCGCGTTCTTCGACGTTTACCCTCCGTTCTCCAGTCGCTGACTCGACGAGCCCTCTTTCCAGATACACAAGATCACCTGCAATTCCGACCTACGCTGCTTCCGGTTCCTCAGGTGGACCACCATGGTGCCGCTGGTGATCTACCTGAGCCTGCTCTTCGTCAAGTTCAACAAGAGCGTGCCCCTGAAGAGCTTGCCCACCGGCTCCACCGAGAAGGACACCGACGGGTCGTTGATCGAGAATCTGTTCATCGAGCTGGAGGCGGTGACCCCCAGCAAGAGGGACGACAAAGGCGCGGCGTTGATCCGCAAGGACGAGCAGAGCATCAGGGAGGTGGAGGAGGCTGAGAACAGGGAGAACCCGAGGACCCTGCTCGAGGATATATTCCAGAGGGCGGACACCGATCAGGATCAATCGTTGGACATCCAAGAGCTTGCCAAGTGGATCCACACGAAGATCACAGAGCATATCAGTCGGGCAATGAGGGAGAACGTTGGCCTCTTCACCGCTATCGACAAAAACCCCAGGAACGGTGCGTTCGATTTACAGTAATCTCTCTGTAATTCGCGATCAGATCGCGCGGAAAAATGGACAATTTGGAAGGTGGAGACACGATTATAGTAGCTTCTCTGTAATTCGCGCTGAGATTGCGCGCGAAAGTGGACAATTTTGGAATAGGAGACACGATTACAGTAATTTCTCTCTAATTCGCGCCGAGATCGCGCACGAAAATGGACAATTTGGGGGGAGGAGACGCGATTATTCGAGCCTTGCGGCTCGTTTTTGTGATTACCGATTGTTAACAATGATAAAAACGGTTCCACGTATTTGATTTCATAATTATTGAAGCCGGAAAGCTGCTGTCATTAGAAATCGTTGAATATATTTCTTTATTCGGACGCGCAGAGTATTATAAAAATTCTGAAAAATTCCAATAAAGTCTATCTTGCAATTCTCATGAGGCAATATCAGGCAAATAAAAAACTCACTTTAATCCTAAAGCATGCTTTTGTCGCGGAGCGCACGTATCTCTGGCCATTATCGTCCGCTAATGCTAGCGACCGATTTCGATCGAGAGTGAAAGCTCCGGGATTATAATTGCAAATTCCGTGCGGCAGGCGAGGTGTCATGGGAAGAGTACCACGCGTACTTTCTCAGGTCCCACGGGTTCCCGGAGAGTTATGTCAGCTCGCACGACAAGAAGCACAGCGACATGTCGCGGACGCTGAAGGAGAACATCATGAGGGACAGAGCCAGATGGGCGGAAGCAGCCAGAAACGACCCGGACAGGCTGGCACTGGACGAGTTCCTGGCGTTCACCCACCCGGAGAGCAGCCACAGAGCTCTGCTCCAAATAGTCGAGGACTTGTTCGAAAAATTTGGTGAGAGATGAAGTCACTTCTAACTCTGTAGAAGTCACCTAACTCCGTAGAAGTCACCTATAACTCCGTAGAAGTCGTCCAATCGACGCGGCGAACGATTTCTCTCTAGCGATCGTTCTTTTGCAGACCGCGACGGGGACGAGGAGCTGACCGAGGACGAGTTCTCGGATCTGCCAGCCGAGGGGATGGGTCTGGACCTGAGGGAGGACAAGCACGAAGCTGTGGGTGGTAGCGAGGACAGGCGACAGGAGTTCAGACACCTGATTGATAAGAATAAAAATGGAAAAGCCGACAGAACCGAACTTCTAGTAAGTGGTCGAGCAGGGTAGATGCGCTTGTTGCGGCCACGTTATGGATTTATAGGAATTCCAAAGGATATAATAGAGTAATTTCTCCCAGAAATGTTCGGAGGTCGGAACTGAAACCGGCAGATAAGAGAATACTAAGTCACGATTCTTCGGGCCTCGCGGCTCGTTTTTATAGAAACTCGGGGCAGTCGGCGAAAAATAATTGTACAATAATTTATACAGTCTAGATCGATTTGAAAAAGCCTCTACTATAATCTCCCTAAATCATTTCCAATGGAAAATATTTTTCCATTGGCGAAAGTGAATTTTCCACGGACGGTTTCTCCTCCTCAGAAACTCTGCGTTCGAACGTCTCTCCAGGGTTTGAAAAATTTTTCCCACGATTCCGATTACCATGATCTTCAAGATTAGAGTCTTCTCTTTCGAACGACGTCAAAGTTTTTGATCTACGATTTTGTCTTTCTGCTTTATCGCGGTTCGAAGCGACCAAGGACGACGCTGCAGAAAATGACTTTTGACAGATTTTCGATTTTAATTCCAATTCTTGTTGGCTAACTTTTTTGTTTCTAATTTTTTGCCACGATTTGAAGGCAATTCGGTGATCAATTCTTAGCTGACTCGCTCACGATAAATTATATAGGCGTAAGATTAGCAGAGGGAAATTCACAGCAACCCGAAATTTGGCATTTCCGGGAGAACTTATTGTATTCTTAAAGTGTCGTATCACGTAAGAAATCTTACAAGTTTTAATAGTTTAATTAACGCTGGAACTCTCTCTCTCTCTCTCTACCGAGGCCTAAATGCAACTATAATTCATACAGATTTATAACAACGACAAGATTGAATTTATTCACTTCGCACGGTTTCTCTTAGAATATATGGTTGAGCAATGAAGTTCATTTGAACATATCTGATAGAAACATTTTGATTATACATATTGATTATACATATAAGTCATATCGACTTATTAAGTCGTATTATTACCAGATTACGGATTATTTATGTCCCACGAAAATGTCTTTCCTCTTTTAACAATTTCAGCAAGTCGTACACGATATAAAAATATTCAAAAAATTCATCTCGCGCCTTCAGAATTTTCTTTCTAATCCATTCGTTCTTGCCAGATGTACATAGACCCGAGGAATCCGAGACACGCCATCCAAGAAGCTCAACACCTGATCAGTCTGTCCGACACGAACTTGGACGGGAAGCTGAATCTCTCTGAAATACTCAGCAAAATGGAGCTGTTCCTGGGCAGCAAGATGGTGGACACCGAAGGGAGTTTCCACGACGAATTCTAGGGACTCGTCGAAGACGTCCGGGGATCGTCGGAGGCGTTCGGGCCTCGTCGTACACCGAAGTCCGAGAATCAAATTTCTATCGAACCTTTTGTATCGCTACTAAAACCAGACAATATTCGTTAGCAATAGTTAGCGGCCACGATAGGCGATCGATCGGTCTCTACCGAGGATCGGTATCAAAAAAAAAAAGAAGAAAGAAAAAACGAGGATGCTCGTTTCCTAGAGAACGTCTCGCGAAAACCGCGTTCCGGTGGAACGAAGCTCGCATTTCCACGGACACCGGTATCTTTTCTACTTTTTCTATTCCAGCAGCACGGACTCTATTTTTCTGCGACACGTCTGTTTTGCAATTTTTCGAGGACACTTTTTCACTGGTAGACACACGGGACTCGATCGGACGCAATGGAATTGCTGCGAGCTTTTTCCAGGCTGCGTACGGACGAGGAGATGTTAAACGAGAACGTCACAGTATTTCATATCGATTACCGTTCATTCATTACCTAGTTTGTAATGTCCGACGTAGGGATTTCGCTGGATGGTTGTACACTGTTCTAACGAGAGCGAGGCGATCGTTTCGACGCTTCGACGGCTTTTATAACGTATCTGTGATAGTCTTCGTGACGTAGAGTATTATTTCTCTGCCTGATGCGGGTAGGACGGAAAACTAAACTTGTTGGCAAATGAAATGACCGTTCATTCGTCCGGCAATTAATTATCGCGGTGAACGATTTCGGTTTCGGCAACAAGTTCGCGTATAGTCCTCGCGCGACAAGAAGGCGTCTTTGCGTTTACGTTCCCCTCTTACTAGCTGCCCCACTCCCGCGACTAGTAGGAGGGGGAACGTCCCACTGCCGCGGCTAGTAGGAGGGGGAACGTCCCACTGCTGCAGCTAGTAGGAGGGGGAATGCCCCACTTCCGCAGCTAGTAGGAGGGGGAACGTCCCACTGCCGCAGCTAGTAAGAGGGGGAATGCCCCACTCCAGCAGTCAGTAGGAGGGGGAACGTAAACGCAAAGGTGCCTTCTTCTCGCGCAAGGACTATACCTTGCGTCGTCTGTTTGCATTTCAGAGACTGTAGAAATTGTATATCGCAACTAAGTCGTGCATAAATGTATTTTTCAGAACCTAGTACTACATCGTATCACTTCGTTCAACCGTGTTAACGCAAGTGATGGAAATTGAATGATTCGTTGATTTCCTTTGGAACAATTGAGACTGAAACGAAAAGGTCGTAAGATCATCGTATTTTACGTTCTATTTTTTGATGGAGAAAGGGTATAGTATAATTGTGCGTATACTTGAATCCGCCCATTCGTCAAATTTGTGTGAACAGCGTTGCGCGCGGATTCTCGTTCAATCGCTGATTCGACGTTCACGCAAAGCTGATATATTTTATTAACGATGTATTAACAAAAGAGTTTCATTTAGCCAGGCGTCCTTGCACGTTTGACCGGTGTCGATGCATTGTCTGAAATCGCGGCAGACCAATCTGCAAAGAGAGAATTTCGTTGTTGTTCCTTTCAGAAGATATTTCTACGCTGTGACACATTTTTTGTACAGTTCACTGTCGCAATAAAAATCCTCTGTGAGTATAATTGATCGGCTCCTCTGTTTTTCCATCCGACACAGACGCCGGAACGAAATTTGTGAAATGGCTCGCAGCTCGGAAATTTATTTATCACAGTTGGTGGAAGGTTGACGACGCTCAGTACGCGATCCGTTGTCACGATAATTTATTTGCATGTTAAAAAAACGCTCAGCTACAAAGTCACTTAAGCAACGCAGCGTCCGCTAATTGGCTAGGTCTTAAGGCTAATTATCCTCGGCTTTATCGACGAAGCTTACAAAGATACACGGTACCCTAAGAGTCCAGTCGAATATTCCTTTCTCGAAACGATAATACACAATTCCCCGCGAGCGAGCCGTGGATCCCGGCTCACGCGAATCAAGATAATAACCTCGGGGCTCTGTAACTCCCCTGCAATTCCGCGAAACAGGACAGAATGAATTTATCTTTCATAATTCTGCAGGAAAAAAGAAACTCGTTACAAAGTGCGGAACGCAATTTTCTCGAGCGAAGTTCAATTTCACCGGGAAAGTTAAATGTACCGGGTGAAAAATATAAGTTTAATGATCTCTGAAAAGTATCGCCGTGACGGAAATGCGCAAATATTTTTACGATTTCAGAATTTCCAATTCCAAGCCGTCTCGTGCACGCAGGTCGCCGACAAGCGTGTATCGCCACATTTCTTTTTAAACAGAAAAACTTCTTTTTATCCAAAATTTATTATACACGTTCCAAGCAGTTGATCATCCGCTGCAGATTCTGTAAGTTTCGTTGGAGGATTATCGAAATTAACGGCGGAGCGGTGATTTTGGTGTCGCGATCGCTTAAACCGAGAAATAAATTCTGGATCCGCGGATCGTTTACTTTTATTTGTACAAAACTAAACTAAGACGTTCGAAGACTTCAGATCTGTCAGAGAACCTCGGCAAAAGTATTTGAAACGTCTCTGAAAAATTACGGTGAAACTTCTGCTTCATCGGTATTCGCAAAACTGTATTTTATTTCGCGAAAATCCCGTTTAAAGTTTCGAAGAGACTGTCAACCGCAGGCCGCGACTTCAATAATTCAAGAATCGATATTTTCGGCACGGCTACACGCTTAGAAGACGCCTCGTGCTCGGTTCAGACGGCGAGAGACCCCGAGATTTTTATTTGGGTCGTGCCGATATATCGCGCGCACGAGAACCGACGAGATTAGGATTCCTTTGGAAAAATAATCAGAGTGGTTCGTAATCGATCACTTGCTCGCCTGCGGAGAGAGATTCCAGGTACATCGGGTAAATTCCGAAACGATATCGGTACGTGGCACCGCAGCACTTCAGAATTAAAGCCCTCGATTCACATCGAAATAGGCGGAGGCAGCTCATTCATCGGGCGTTCGAGTGGATTCCAGACAATACGCTCGGCACGCGTAACCGAGATCGGCGCTGTTCGACGGAAAAGTCTCGTTTCTCACTTTGCCTCTCACCACTTGGTCGCCCGAGGCTTCGTGCAATTTTCCCGGGAAAACTATTCCGCGGAATATACAATTTTTAGGCTGATTTCGCCGTCAGAGGCGGCTCGACCTCTTGCATCGATTAAACCTATCGAATGTACATATATAGCGGTTCATCAACGAATTTCTGAGTGTCCAATGAATCGCCAACAAATTTCTAAAACTTCAAGGGATCACGTGAAACATTTCTGAGAGCCCCGTGATGGACCAACGAATTTCTGAGAGTCCAATCGTTCTTCAAAAACATTCTGTGAGTCGAGCGGATCGTCGAAAGATTTCTGGGAGTTCAATGGATCGACAAAACATTTCTGAGAGGCATTAGGGAATTTTCTAGGAGTGTAATGGACCACGGAAAAAATGTCTGAGAGTCGAATAAACATTAGGAAAATTTTTTAGGGTCCGAGGAAAATTTCTGAGGGTCCAACGGGCTACAGGAAAAATCACTGAGAATCCAATGGATCGTAGGAAAAAATACTGAGAGTCCAATAGATGCCAGGAAAATTGCTGAGAGTCCAATGGATCGTAGGAAAAAATACTGGGAGTTTAATATATGCCAGGAAAATATCTGAGAGGCCAATGGATCGTATGAAAAAAATACTGGGAGTTCAATAGATGCCAGGAAAATATCTGAGAATCCAATGGATCGTAGGAAAAAATACTGGGAGTCCAATAGGTGTCAGGAAAATTACTGAGAGTCCAATGGACCGTAGGAAAAAATACTGAGAGTCCAATAGATACCAGGAAATTTGCTGAGAGTCCAATGGATCGTAGGAAAAAATACTGGGAGTTCAATATACGCCAGGAAAATATCTGAGAGTCCAATGGATCGTAGGAAAAAATACTACAAGTCCAATAGATGTCAGGAAAATGTCTGAAAGTCCAATGGATCGTAGGAAAAAATACTGGGAGTTCAATATACGCCAGGAAAATTGCTGAGAGTCCAATGGATCGTAGGAAAAAATACTGCAAGTCCAATAGATGTCAGGAAAATGTCTGAGAGTCCAATGGATCGTAGGAAAAAATATTGGGAGTCCAATATATGTCAGGAAAATTGCTGAGAGTCCAATGGACCACGGGAAACATTTTTTCGGATCAGGAAAAATTTTCAATTGAATTTAACAAAGCATAAATATCCTGCCGTTCCTATAGACTCAATTTCGACCCGAATGCATTCAATAAAATTATATTCAAAACTGTTTACATCCCTTTCCTCGTTGAAGCACTGCTAAAAGTGAAATCTTCTCTGCCTAAGCTGTTCAGCTTACTGCGGAATTTGTTTTATAATTGAAAAGAGCTACTTTTATCCTCTCTCCGACGAATGCCGCCCATTTTTTCCTCGGCGAAGGGGTTGAATTTTCGTGGCGGAATGTTTTGATCTTCGGCAGAGCCGGTTCGCACAGAAGAACTTTCGGCCGGGGGATCGTTCTTTCTTTTCTTTCCGGAGGAAAGTTTGCAGATGCCCTCTTGTTTTTCAGACCTCTTCGAAACTTTCGTTGCAAAGTGGAGATTCGTGTTCCAGAATCNCGTAGGAAAAAATACTGAGAGTCCAATAGATGCCAGGAAAATTGCTGAGAGTCCAATGGATCGTAGGAAAAAATACTGGGAGTTTAATATATGCCAGGAAAATATCTGAGAGGCCAATGGATCGTATGAAAAAAATACTGGGAGTTCAATAGATGCCAGGAAAATATCTGAGAATCCAATGGATCGTAGGAAAAAATACTGGGAGTCCAATAGGTGTCAGGAAAATTACTGAGAGTCCAATGGACCGTAGGAAAAAATACTGAGAGTCCAATAGATACCAGGAAATTTGCTGAGAGTCCAATGGATCGTAGGAAAAAATACTGGGAGTTCAATATACGCCAGGAAAATATCTGAGAGTCCAATGGATCGTAGGAAAAAATACTACAAGTCCAATAGATGTCAGGAAAATGTCTGAAAGTCCAATGGATCGTAGGAAAAAATACTGGGAGTTCAATATACGCCAGGAAAATTGCTGAGAGTCCAATGGATCGTAGGAAAAAATACTGCAAGTCCAATAGATGTCAGGAAAATGTCTGAGAGTCCAATGGATCGTAGGAAAAAATATTGGGAGTCCAATATATGTCAGGAAAATTGCTGAGAGTCCAATGGACCACGGGAAACATTTTTTCGGATCAGGAAAAATTTTCAATTGAATTTAACAAAGCATAAATATCCTGCCGTTCCTATAGACTCAATTTCGACCCGAATGCATTCAATAAAATTATATTCAAAACTGTTTACATCCCTTTCCTCGTTGAAGCACTGCTAAAAGTGAAATCTTCTCTGCCTAAGCTGTTCAGCTTACTGCGGAATTTGTTTTATAATTGAAAAGAGCTACTTTTATCCTCTCTCCGACGAATGCCGCCCATTTTTTCCTCGGCGAAGGGGTTGAATTTTCGTGGCGGAATGTTTTGATCTTCGGCAGAGCCGGTTCGCACAGAAGAACTTTCGGCCGGGGGATCGTTCTTTCTTTTCTTTCCGGAGGAAAGTTTGCAGATGCCCTCTTGTTTTTCAGACCTCTTCGAAACTTTCGTTGCAAAGTGGAGATTCGTGTTCCAGAATCGCGAGCAGCGGTTCCCCTCCCCCCTCTCTCTCTCGAGGCGGTCGCGCGCTGGCATAGAAAAATTTCAATGAAAAATTCTACCCGGAGAATAGGCGTCAGTTCGCGTATATCGAAATTCTTGTTCGTTTAACGGCGGCTGCCTCCGGCTTTCCATATTAAACATCGGTATTTTTTAAATTTGCATGTCTTAGAATTAGCCTCGCAAGCACTGGTTACAGAGAGATTCGTGGAAGCATATAAACAGCAATTGCACACATCCATAGATTACTTTATAAACGGGTTCGCGCTTAAAAAAAGTAAACCTCGCGGAGTCAAAGACGAGTTTTCGTGGTTCCCTTCACCGTTCGTCTCGACGTGCGACGATCGATCGTTCGCAGAGTCGAGCGGTCGAGAACACTGGAAAATTTTCATTGTAAAAACGTGAACGATGCTTTCACAAACGATGGCCAACCGAGGCTTGTCTGACCGCCGCCAATTTTACAGACTATTCCGATCACCGATGGTCGGTTTCACTCTCGAGGGATTCTCGTTAACAGACGCATCAAACGACTTGAAACCACTTGAAACCACTTCGAACCAGCTTGAACCTTTTGTCAACGAATCGTCCATAGTTCGATCGGACTGGACGAAACATTTTATTCTACGACTAATTGACTCGACGGGCGGTCGCTGACCGCCACGAACCTGTTGGGCTCTCGACGGCTGACCTTGGACAACAGCTTCCCAAGCGTTTCGTCCTTGGGCCTCCTCGTTCTCTCGCATAATCGTTCTAGAACAACAGTCAAAGGATCAGAACAAACCGGTCCGTCCCGCGAATTTCCAAAGATTCTGTCCGCGCGGTGTTCCAAACCGTTTCAAACCACGTCAAACGGCAACGAACGCTCTTCGGGCCTCGTGCAATTAATTACCCAGAGAAATCGCAATTGAACGATGATAAAAAAAAATTCTTTGAACCGTGTAAATGAGAACGAATTAATACGCAATATTGTCTGACTGCACGACACCGTTCTGCCAATTCCCGTTCGAAGGTTCAGGCTTCGATGAATTCGTCTACAATTATACAAAATCGTAGGCTTAGTTCGTTAATTTAAAAAAAATCGATCAGACAACGCGATCAGACTTCGCGTTAATTGCCCGAGAAGGATCCGGCGGATCCAAGTTCCGTCTCGTCGAGCGACGACTTCGATTTTCGTAGGAGACCGTCGCGTTCGTGGACCCTAATCTTCAGCTGGGTCTAGGGTCCGTGCTGGTTCGCGCAGTCTCAGTCTAACGGCGGCCGTCTCAGCAGATGGTCCGGCCTCAGACAGTGGACTTGGTCGTCGGGTCCTCGAGCTGGAGTCTTCCAGGTAATCCCCTTTCTCCCAGCGGAGTCCTCGGGCCAGGTGTCCTTGGGGGGTTGCGGTGGCGTGGTGATGCTACGTCAGACTGCTGTTCTGAAACGCGAGTTCAAGGTGACACCGGCGAGCAGTCGCCCTCGGGTTACATAGAAAGCGATTTTCTTTTGCGACAACGGACAGGTCTTCGTGTCAAAGCACCAAGGGGATGGTAACTGACGTTGGAGGAGGCGCAAAGTGGTTCTTGAAGTAGAGGCTGTAGTCTGTTGGCCTCTGGAGGGCAATAGATAAACGGTTAGCAGATAAGAGTCGTGTTGATGCAGAGAGAGAGAGAGAAAGAGAAAACAGATTTGAGGGCATTGAAAGCGAGAACTGGTACTGATAGTTTCGCCAACGATTGGGGTTGCCAACAGGTTCTGAGTCACAGTTTCAATTCCAGAATGGGGAAGGCATACAATGCGGAGACGTGTGGTGCTGCTGAGAGATGTTACCACTACTGGCAGTGACAATGGATCCTCGGGAAGTCTCAGAAAGACTGGCGAGTTCGTGGAAAATAAGACGTGCGGAAAGGTGTGGAAATTTGTGAGGGATCCATGAATCGTACGAAAAATGTCTGCGAGTCTAATGGACCTAAGGGAAATTTCTAAGAGATTAATGGACCACAGAAATATTTCTGAGAGTCCAATAGATCGTGGGAGAAAAGTGCGAAACTCTGGAAAAATGTCTGAGGGTCCAATGAGTCACAGGAAAAAATACTGAGAGTCCAATGAGTCACAGGAAAAATTACTGAGGGTCCAATGGACTCATAGAAAAATTCTGAGAGTCAAATGGATCCTAGGAAAATTCTGTGCAAAGCCGGTGGGCATCGGGAAAATTTCTGAGAGTGCTGGGGATCTTAGAAAATTACCCGAGAGTCCAATGGACTCAGGGAAAAATTGCTGGGGGTCCAATGAGTCACAGGAAAAAATACTGAGAGTCCAACGAGTCACAGGAAAAATTACTGAGGGTCCAATGGATCGCGAGAAAAAAGGAAGTGCAATGGATCGTAGGAAAAAACTTTCGAGAGTCCAGTGGATCATTGGAAACATTATGAAAGTCTAATGGACACTAAGAAAACTCTGTGCTAGTTAAATGTACGGCACAACAATTTCTGAGAGTCCAAGAGATCCTAAGAAATTGTCTGAGAGTCCAATGGCCGTACAAAAAAATTTCTGGGAGTCCGATAAATTAGAAACAATTTTCTGAGAGTCTAAAAGACGACACGAACGTTGCTGAGAGTTCATTGGAGACTGGAACATTTCTGGGAGTCCAATGGATTCTGTACAGGGTCCATCCATGTCCAGGATTTTTGAGGGACCATCTAACGGATTTTGCTGAGACTTCGGGGAAGGTCTGAGAGTCGAAGGGATATCTGGAGGGAGCCGACAAGCACCAGCCGAGCAAAAGCGATGCAACAGCACATGCATGACTCGCGCGTGTCCCGTGTGTATTACCTACTGGTATGATCTTGCGAGGAGAATCGACCGTCGATGCTGGCAATGATCTAAATGCGGATTGGCGTGCTTTCCTCGATCATTACTCACTCGGCAGGTCGGTCCGGCGGTGGTGTGTTCCCACCTCGACAGCACAGTCTTATCCAACCGCTAGGTCTCATCTCCTCCTCCTCCATCTCGATCACTGCGCGTATCAACAATCATTATATTCTCTTATTCGTCCGTAGTTGGTCCCGGTTATCAATTTGCATCCGGCGGTGCCGCTCTACACAGCCAGGATCGGTCCCCCACGGAGAACGTCCCTCAAAAAGCTCATGGTATCACCGGCTCAACGATTCTCTTACGAATTACGAAACGCTTTGCAACAAATTATTCGGTCGAAATTTGAAAAAAGAAAAACAATGCCAGGATAAAACGTCTGCGTCAACGTCGACGTCCTAGTAAAATAACAAAAAAATTTCAAAGAGATCGGCTCAGTGCGTTGTCTAAAAAATAATTCGGCAAAGATTGTGCGATGCGAGTAAGTCAACTTAGGCGATTACTTTCTAATGAACGAGCACAGATATTCGCACAACAAAATTTCTGTGGTTACATCAACGACCTGGTAGAATGTGTAAAAAATTTCGAAGAGATCGGTTCGGTGCATTGTTTAAAAATAAATTGTCAAAGATCTCGTCTACTTCGAGCAGCTTTATGCTAGCCTGAACTTGTACTCCCTCCGATGGATTGCGATGCGTTCGACGTCGCCCTGAAGGGAATTTCGAACCGCGCCGCATTTCATCAACTTCCTTTTCTGCGACTTAATCTGTTTTTGTACCGACACGGTATGTGGAACAGGTCGACGATCGCCGAGAGAGCCGCAATTTCGGCGTCGCTCTGCTCCCTGAAAGGCCGCCCGCCTAAATTGCGTGCAAAATCGATCCCATCCCGGCAAGAAATCCATCTCAGCCGACGAAGGCGGTTTCCCGGACTTGAAGAGCACCTCGCGGAGTGCTCGGGCTTTCATTAATTTGATTGAACTCGGCCCGAAACCGCGCGGCGCCGCTTTAGCGACAACCCTTCAACCGGTGTTCCCGGCTTATATTTTCCGACCTTGTTTTAAAAATAATTTGCCGCACTGAATTTCGTAGCGGGAACATGCGGGAGAGAGAGAGAGGCCTGCAGCGAACCGTGAAGCAGATCCGGTCCCAGGATCCCGATCAAACGCGGGATGATTTGATGCACGTGATTCGGTTCGAGAGGGCAAAGGTGGAACGCGACCACCGATAAGGGCCGGGTCGTCCCCCGCCTGAGACATCGAGACCCATTGTCGATCAAATATCGTATTATACCCCCGCGCGCATTCTTCGTCCTTTCGACTGATTGTTTTCGACGGTTTTATGCCTTCAAGGGATTTTTCTCTGTTTTATTAAACTCTGCGAGTGGCAGTCGATGCGGGGAGAGTCTCAGGAAATCGATAGCAAACCGACGGAGTTGTGGAAAATTGATGCGGGTTTCATTTCAGCATGTTTGCGATTCGTGGAACAATTTCTCAGTGTCCAATGGACCGTCGAGAATTTGATGAGAGTCCGATGGATCCTTGGAAGATTCTGCACAGGTCCAATGAGCTGCTGCAAAAATTGCGATCGACTAAATGGATCGCTGGGAAAATTTTAAGAGTCGAATGGACCCCAGGAAAATTTTGTACGAGACCAATGGTCCCCTGGAAAATTTCTAAGAGTCGAATGGACCCCTGGAAAATTTTGTACGAGATCAATGAACCACAGGATAATGTCTAGGAAATGAATGGACTCCTGGAAAATTTTTTACGAGACCAACACACCCCTGGAAAATTTCTAAGAGTCGAATGGACTCCAGGAAAATTTTGTACGAGACCAATGGATCCCTGGAAAATTTTGTACGAGATCAATGAACCACAGGAAAATGTCTAGGAAATGAATGGACTCTTGGAAAATTTTTTACGAGACCAACATACCCCTGGAAAATTTCTAAGAGTCGAATGGACCCCTGGAAAATTTTGTACGAGATCAATGAACCACAGGAAAATGTCTAGGAAATGAATGGACTCTTGGAAAATTTTTTACGAGACCAACATACCCCTGGAAAATTTCGAAGAGTCGAATGGACCCCAGGAAAATTTTGTACGAGACCAATGGGTCCCTGGAAAATTTTGTACGAGATCAATGAACCACAGGAAAATGTCTAGGAAATGAATGGACTCCTGGAAAATTTTTTACGAGACCGATGGACCCCTGGAAAATTTTCTACGAGACCAATGGACCTCTGGAAAATTTTGTACGGGACAAATGAACCTCTGGAAAAATTATGACAGTTCTATGATAGTCCAATGGACCCCTGGAAAATTATGTACGGGTCGAATGAACCCTTGGAAAAATTCTGACAGCTCTGTGGAACCCTGGAAACATTGTGATAGTTGAACGGAGTTCTGGAAAATTTTGTGCGGGTCCAATGGACACCGAGGAAAATTTTGTACGAGTCGAATGGAGTCCGAGAAAATTCTTCGCAGTCCAAAATTTGTACGTAGCATATTTAATCGATTATCGATAGTATAAACAAACTAGCAACGATGACAGTATTCATATAACATTAATAGTGCTATTGCAAGCACTATTAATTTACGTTTTCTTTCACCGTGTTTCTCCCCGAATTGTTTAATGCTCTCATTTTGTCTAATTTCTCGTTTCATCGTCGCACAGTCTCGAGCTACACTTAACAAAGTATGTTGCCCAACAGGCAACCCACGGTTTGTTCGAATAATAGCGGCTATTTTTCTAACAGAACTTAATTAACGCAGTTAACGGCGGTCACGTAATATTCGGTTGAATATATACTCCGGAGTTCCACGGGCGAATTTTCAGACATGCTGGCGAACAAAGACGAACTTGGCACGACTTGCACACGTGCCAACAATTTGGGACACGGTTCAGGAATTCGGTGCTGCCTACGCTGCTGCTCGGTCCCGATCGAACTTTGAAACCGCAAAATTCGAAACTCACCCGCCGCCCCGCGGAGTCATTCTTTTTTTTCACCGATTACACGCAGAATCGCGGCGCCTTGTCTTTCTCGGTTTAATTGCAATTAAAATACATTGAATTTTAATGAGGCTTTTCACGGTCCCGCTCGCGAAGTTCCTTAATGAGTTAATATCGCGACCGAAGGTCGGGGAACAGTGGGCTGGAATTAGGGGCTGAAACAGTTGCGAGTGCGGGTTTTATTCCGCGAGGAAACGCAACGGCGAGAGGCTCGCCTATGCACCCATTCTTGATCGAACGTTTCGATGGAATTTTGTACACCGGGTGGACCACAAGTACTGCTCAAAGAACTCCTTTTCATTGATTTTTCACAAACTGTTTGCACCGTTTCTTTCTGAGAGAGGTAAGCTAACTTCATAATTTTTAGGTTATTGTATTAGTAAGAAAGTTGTTGATTGTCAGAATTGCATGATTCATGGCCCACCGTATATATATAGCGGGCGCTTGAATGTTTGTGTAAAGCATAAAAGGTTTGATTATTTTATTGTTTGCACAATGAATGTTATAGCCACTAACCTGATGCAATCCGTTGGGGTTGACAACCACTGAAAGTTGACTGTCTCCTTGCTTGCAGGTCAGTGCCTCTCAACGAAAGGTAAACCGAAATGGTTTTGTCCAGGGCCAGTCTCACCTGCACGAGAATCACCGGTCAGTGCACTTGCGTTCAACTTGGTCCAACATGTATAATTCAATTCGTTGTTTATTTTATAAAATTTGTTTGATTTAGTTGAAACTTATTGGATGGACGCCACAATATTGTTTACATGCCCAGTGGACTCTTAGAAAGTCCAATGGAAATTTTCTGCGAGTTCAATGGACCCTGAGAAAATTTCAATAAGTCCAATGGACCTCAGAAAATTTTTACGAGTCCAATGGACCCTCAGAAAATCTTTACAAGTCCAAAGGACCCACAGAAAATCTTTGCAAGTGCAATGGACTCACAGAAAATTTTGTACGAGTCCAGTGGACTTCCAGAAAATCTTTACAAGTCCAATGGACCCACAGAAAATTCTATACGAGTCCAATGGACTCACAGAAAATTTTCTACGAGTCCAATGGACCCTCAGAAAATTCCTACGAGTCCAATGGACCCTCACAAAATTTCTACAAGTCCAATGGACCCTCAGAAAATTCCTACGAGTCCAATGGACCCTCACAAAATTTCTACAAGTCCAATGGATCCTCAGAAAATCTTTACGAGTCAAATGGACCCTCAGAAAATCTTTAAAAGTCCAATGGACCCACAGAAAATCTTTACAAGTCCAATGGACTCACAGAAAATTTTCTACGAGTCCAGTGGACTTTCAGAAAATCTTTACAAGTCCAATGGACTCACAGAAGATTTTCTACGAGTCCAATGGACCCTCAGAAAATTCCTACGAGTCCAATGGACCCTCAGAAAATTTCTACAAGTCCAATGGACCCTCAGAAAATTTCAACAAGTCCATTGGACTCTCAGTGATTTTCCAAGGGTCTATCGCGGCCCAAAATATTGAGAACCACTGGGTCATGAGGATACGCGGCCGAGCCAATACGCCGCAACCGAACCAACACAACGCGGCCCGATGCGAACCAATCTGCGAAAGAATTGGAACTCAGCATGGAACCTACTAATTTCTCCCCCCTCCAACCGCTTTTCCAGCGTCGCAGGCACACGGTTATATTCGCACCAAGTGTTCTGTAAATGTTTACCTTAAACCAGGCCTGTGTTTTCCCCTCGTGCAATATGTGCCAGCAGTTCCATTCATTTAACATTCAGACAGCAATCGTGGCTGTCATTACTCATTCAGCTATCCCTTTGTTAATTTATCAATACCTCCGTTTCGTTCAAATTAATATCTAACAATGTTTAATTAGTCACGGACTCGAATAAAAGTCCTCTACTACGATGGAAATGAACTGCAATCAGAGTCCATCGCAAATAATAAAGCGCAAGTTTCTCAGAAATAGAAGATTATTAAAATGCAATTTCCTTTTATGCCGGATGCGTTCCGTACACTTTGATGCGTGCGTTTCCACCACGGCCTCGCGATTTCAACGCGGCCCAAGGTATTCCCAAGAGTGTATTGTTTACCACGGCAATGTTTCCCATGCATAATGGATGATCGGGCTCCACTTGATCATTCGCGCCGGACGCAATCACTGGCCAGCTGTTAACGATTAAACGAAAAGGCGGGCGAGGTTACGCCAAACGCGACGCCGATTACAGACCTTTCAATTCGTTTCTAATCCCGCAAAATTAATGAATTTCTCGTCTCGAGTTTACCGGGCACCGATGTCGTCATGTTAACCTTTTTATACTTTTGCAAAAGTAACAATACAGTAATTTCTCCAAGAAATGTTCGGAGATCGCAGATCGGAGAATGCTAAGTCGGCAAAAAATAATTGTACAATAATCTACATCGTCTAGATCGATTTGAAAAAGCTTCTATTATAATCTCCCTAAATCATTTCCAATGGAAAATATTTTTTCATTGGCGAAAGTGAATTTTCCATCTCCGGTTTTTCGTCCTTGGAAACTCTGCGTTCGAACGTCTCTCCAGGGTCTGAGCAATTTTTCCCACGATTCCGATTACCACGATCTTCAAGATTAGAGTCTTCTCTTTCGAACGACGTCAAAGTTTTCGATCTATGATTTTGTCTTTCTGTTTTATCGCGGTCCGAAGCGACCAAGGTCGACGTTGCGGAAAATGAACTTTGACAGATTTTCGATTTTAATTCCAGTCCCTGTTAGCTAACTTTTTTGTTTCTAATTTTTTGCCACGATTCGAAGGCAGTTCGAAGGCCAATTCTTAGCTGACCCACTCACGATAAATTATATTGGCGTAGGATTAGCAGAGGGAAATTCACAGCAACCCGAAATTTGGCATTTCCGGGAGAAATTACTGTAATTGGAGTGCAGATCTTTATGCATTTAATGTTAAAATTGGTAGATAAAATTGTAAACGTAAGAAAAATTTCTAAAAATTGATGACTGTTCGCATATTATTTTTAACTAACTAAATTGATTAAAGAAAGAACAGAGTTCCTATCGGTCTCTTGATTTGTTGCGATTGGTAAAGAAAATTTGTATTCTGCATGAAGATCCGCAATCTAGTAATAATTTACGAAAATGTTTTGATAGAGGAATCGTTGTTTGTAGTACGAATTCGTTCACCTCTCCGTTTAGGAAGCAGTAGAGCGTCGCGATGAAGAGGCCCTGAAACGACTGCAGGAAATGAGTGGAGTAAGACCACAGCGCGAATTTCTTCACGTTGTGCAACGGGGCCTCGAACATGAACAGCGCGTTCGTGAGGCCCAGTAGGGGTAGTAGCACCACTGCCGCCCTCACGGCTTTCCTGAAGTCAAAGAAAAATTGTTATTTTACACAGCGATCCTTCAGGCGATAATTTAGTATTTGTTAAATGGTATAGTTCGCTAAGATGATCGAAACTACCCTGTTTAGATTTTTTAGAAAATGTTAATTAAGAATTATTGAAATTGATCATAATGTTTACGACGACCTCTAGTTATTAAATTAACATAAAACCGGTGTCTTACAGATTTCAATTTAAAATGGAATTTTTTTGCGGATTTTTGACGGCCTTGAATTTTATTTAACGGCCCTCTTACAAAAATTATGAAAAATACGCGTTAATAAATGTAATAATACATTAGAAGAAATTACTATTGCCTTGATAGCTTCAATATAAAGTTAGCATTTCTCAGTTTTCCTGAGTGGACTAAGAAAAAATCAATTTGGTCACATTTCGCCATCTTGTCCGACTATTACCATTTGTTCATTAATCCTCCGGCAATTTACGTACAGTACTTGCTCGATCTCGCTGGTGTGACTCTGTCTCAGCTTCAAGACTAGCACCCTCAGGATGTTCAGCAGGAACAGAAAATTGAGCTGACAAGTTTGAAAAATTCCAGCGCTTTAGACACACACATGCTGTGCTCGTAAAACGATAATTCGTCGCAGGAAATTATTGTATTTCGCGCGTGCCGCGAGCCGTGAAAAGAGACTTCAAATTAATAAAATCGATTCGACGGGCGACGACGTTCGCGGAAAAATGTTCGAACGTTGGATTTCCTCCGCCGATGGAAACCGACAGTTTTGGAATCGAGTGCCTCAGTTTCCTGTTACATCGGCGATATTATCGGGCTTTCCCGTGATCTGGAAGATTTCGAAAACTTTCTCACCAATATCACCGCGAACCTGGGTCCCTCGAGGATCCAAAAGTAGGAAGACAAATTGTATCCGGACCAACATCTGGAAAACCTATCATACGTCGTACCCGTGAGATATGTTGTCGCGATCTTTCGTGGTGTTCGTGTATTCAATAACACGCCGCGCGACGTCCGGGTCGACGGCGACCCGCCCCAGGCGAAACAATTTTCCGAGAGCCCGACAGACACACATGGAACGTTTCCGAGAGTCGAATGAACACCAAGAAATAATCCGAAAGTCGAACAGACAGCTGGAAAATGTCTTGAAGTCCGATCGACGTAAGGAAAATTTGTTCTAAGTACAATGGATCCCGGGAAAATTTTGTAGAAGACGATTGGACTCCCGGAGAATTACTGATAGTTTTGTTTAATTTTTGTAAGATTAATGGACCTTGGGAAAAATCACTGAGAGTCGAATGGACCCAAGGAAAATTTTTAACAAGATTAATGGATCGCAGGGAAAATCTCTGAGAGTCCAATGGACTCCAGGAAAACTTGTTATAAGATTAATGGATCGTAGGAAAAATTTCTGAGAGGTCAATGGACGTCAGGAAAATGTCTGAGAGTCCAATGAACCCGAGAGGAAAGTTTAACAATGTTAATGGATCACAGAGAAAATCTCTGAGAGTCCAATGGACATCAGGGAAATTTCTGAGCGTTCAGTGGACATTGAGAAAATTTCTGAGAGTCCAATGGACCATAGGAAAATTTTATAGACGATCAATGGACCAAGCAAAAATTTTCTGGGAGTCCAATGGACATCAGGAAAATTTTTGAGAGTCCAATGGACATTGAGAAAATTTCTGAGAGTCCAATGGACATTGAGAAAATTTCTGAGAGTCCAATGGATCATAGGAAAATTTTATAGACGATCAATGGACCAAGTAAAAATTTTCTGAGAGTCCAATGGACATCAGGAAAATTTCTGAGTGTCCAATGGACATTGAAAAAATTTCTGGGAGTCCAATGGACCATAGGAAAATTTTGTAGAAGATCAATGAACCATAGCAAAAATTTTCTGAGAGTCCAATGGATGTCAGGAAAATTTCTAAGAGTCCAATGGACTCCAGGAAAATATCTAGCAGTCCAATAGGTTCCAGAAAAATGTCCACAGTTTGCAAATCCTTCAAAAAGAATGTGTCTCCATGTAACTTGCACAAACGATTCGCTATAAACCAAGCGTGGCACGAGGCGTGTTACAGTAATTACACCGCAGATAAAAGTGTCTGAACGAATGTGTTAATACTCACTTTGACCTTGGATGATAATAGAACGCCGTGATGACTGCCCATACGAGGGTCATCACGACTGGACATCCCCAACCGACGAACCGGTACATCCGGTAGTACGAGGTCTCTTGGAACACCGTCACTGCGACAAACAGAATTGACGAAACAAAAAACGAGCAAGTGGGGTCCGGGGACGAAGACGCCTAACAATGACGGGCATCTTTAATTCTAGCCGGAAACAGGTCGGAGATTCAGGAATTTTTAATCAAACCCGGAACGCTCCTCTGTACACTCCGAGGAAAAACTGGCTGTGTGCACGGAGCCGAGAAATGTTTAATTTTCGCATAGTTAAACGGACCTCGAACGTGCTCTCCCCGTTGGTACCTTCTCTCCCCACCCATCCCTTGACTCCTGGCGTGGTTATAGCGATTTTGCTCTTCAACTTTCTGCCCGCCTTCTCTGCCAAATATTAGGCCAAACTAGTCGGCTAAGTATTCGTTCCTTTCTTTTTTCTATTTGACGTTCGCGTCGCGCGAACGAAGATCGTGAATGAATTATTAAACCGAGAAGTGACAGAAGAACGTCAGAGATGTACGCTCTAAATATTTAAACGAATAAATCTATTGGAAATGTAATGGAACATTCAGTTTCAATTATTTTCAGATTTTATCGCGATAAAATAAATTGGGAGTCTAATAGAAAATATTTTACCAGTCGAAAATGTTCTGAAAAATTATTCTCCAGTTTGAGGTATACTAAAATTTTATTGTTAATAGAATCTTGGAGATATGTATTGTAAATATTTAAGAAAAAATTGAAACACAATAGACAATTTTTTACCAGTCCAAAAACTACTAGAAAATTGTTAAATTATCCTGAAACATTAATACGATGAAAATCACAGACCAGTCTCAATAGATTCATGAATTTGAATAAATTAAGCAACCTCTGGCACGTGTCAATTTCACCATGCGAATGATTTTTATTTATATTCGTGAACAAATTAGCGCGATAATATCGTGCACTAGCATGATCAATATTCATATAGCCTGGCCAACCTTCCACTGGCACCGTTTGTGTGCGCATAATATAGTGTTGTGGTCAGTGTCATGTAGGTCAGAAATAACAACATTAGCCCAGTTAATTAACGATGATTTAGTAGAGGGGCGAATTATATATTTGGAATAAAATTGTACTGTAATCTTAGAAAGAATTTATAGAAAATAATAGCGATGATCAAAATTTTAATAACAAAGGAAGAAAGGACTGTTCGGAAGTATACTGTTTCAAAATAATTAATTATTTAACCGTGATGGACTCGTAACGCGATGGACTCACCGGTGACCATGTTGTGGAGAAACAAGCCTTCTATGAACATCCACATGAACATCGCGGTTTTAGCGTACTCGAGAAGAGCGTAACTGGCCTCGCACAGGACAGGCTGGAAAAGAAAGTTTTTTTTTTCTCGAGTAATCTTCCTCTTCGAAACTCCTTTCCCAAGTCTGTTACATGCGAGGGATCTTAAAAGGACCTTCACAAATATATCTGTAACTTTCGTGATGGAAATCCTATCCAGTTCAAATTTTTCAGGCAGTTAGCTTGAGCTATCCTGTTAATATGAAAAAGAAATAAAAAATTTCTGCCAAATCGTTTTCGTGCACTAGAAAGTACTTACTAGTAGCTAATCCAGACTTTTATAATTAAATCCGTAACTTCTGGAAGAAAAATCCTATCAAGTTTAAATTTGCCATGCATATAGCTTAAACTATCCTTTTAATACAGTAAAAAAATAAAAAATTTCTGTCGAGCCACAGCGCTGAAAAAAATTTCCAAAATATGCACCCCACTCGAAGGTCATTCACTGTCAGGCCTAACGCAGACTTTCACAAATATATTTGTAACTTCTGTGAAAACGATCCTACCGTGTTAAAATTTGCCATGCATATAGCTTATACTACCCTTCTAATACAGTAAAAAAATAAAAAATTTCTGTCGAGCCATAGCGCAGAAAAAAATTCCGAAATACATGCGACAAATCGAAAAGTGTTACTCACAGTGTTCCCGATTCCTCTCTGGATGCCATAAGTCTTCCGCCTCAGTATTTCGATGTCTATGTACACGGTTAATCTAATGAGAACTTGAACGACCATGGCGACAAAGAGATTCTTGTGTATCCTGGTCCTAGTGTTCCGCAGGGATCTAAATTAAAGCGGACAATGGAATATGAAATCCAATTAAACTGCAAAAACACCGAACGATTATATGGTTATTTTAATAACCACCGGCGGCATCCATAATCGAGGAAACGCGATATTTATGTATAGCATGCTCCGAACGAACGAACGAATGAGCCGAGAACGCTCCTCGGCTTCTCGATGTGAAAATAGCAGTGGCGTTTCGTCTCGGACGCCTGGCTACGGTGACTTTACGCGTTTGGAAATCTTTGACGCCGTTAAAGTCTTCATTCCATTACCGCTGTGTCTTGGGACAAGATTAACCCAGTTCCATGGCACAAACAGAGTCCTTCATTTTTCCAGGTAAATCGCTTTTAGCTGCGACTCCGTGTTTCTCCGTTCCGCGAATGCGGGAAGGTCTAATTTCATTTCCCAGGAAACGAGGACTTTATGTATTAGCGTAACAGAGAATTTGATGGAGATTCAACGAGTTCGAAATTAAATCGCAGAAAATATGTTTACGGTGCTGTTTCACTTTGAATTGCATTAACTGTATTTCTGGCGCGTGTCGAGATTTATTTACGATTTATTTTATCATAGTCATTTGTCCAGAATTTATTTTCGATTTATTTCAACATAGTGATTTGTGCACTTTGCACGGTAGAATATATTAACGATTTATTTCAACATAGTATTTTCTGCAGAATGTATACGGCAGAGCTTATTTTCAATTTATTTCACCGTACTAATTTCTGCGGTATGCATGGCGGAATATATTTTCAATTTATTTCAACGTACTAATTTGCGCGGCATATATATGTTAAAATTTATTTTGACATATTAAAATTTATTTTAATGTACGAGTTTCTACGAGCTCCTCCTTGTGGTCAAATTTATTTTCAGCACTCATGTTTGTACAGTATGAATGTTAAAAGTGATTTTATACGATATATATATAAATTGAAATTTATAAAACATATAAAATATATAAATATATATATATAAAATAAATAAATACACGAAACATATAACTATGTAAGATATATAAAATAAATTTCAACGTACAGACTGTATGAATTTGCTGCGTTAAAATAAATTCAAACTAAAGTTTATGGTCGGAGTATGTAGAACATCAAAGCTATTTCCGACAGTGTTAATCTAACACGGAGATCCAAGACTGACCTAAACCGACAGAAGATGGCAAGGGAGGCGAGCAAGGCCACCAAAGAGACGCTCAGCCCGACGAACTCCAAGGTACGTGTCTTCTCTGCGATGTCCATCTTCATCTACAACAATAATAATTCAATGGAATCAGTGAATCGCAACCGCGAAATTCCAGTTTGTTGGCGGACCATCGACTCCGACACGCGCAGCACGATACAATTTGTCAGACGTAACGCGAGCCTGGAATGAAAAAAGGAAAGGACCCGGCCCGATGATTTATGGCAGCCGGGCGACACGACGAATCATGATGTATCGTCGGAAGTTACGTCTTCAACTGCGATGGCTGCGGAAAAATTCATGAGCGGCGTGATCAATCGGCGAGAGTTGGCGCGACGTTCGCTGACGCAAAACTCGCCGCAATTTACAGTAATTCCTCCGGGAAATGTTCGGAGACCGGAATCGAAACCGGCAGATACGAGAATACTAAGCCGCGATTCTTCGGGCCGCGCGGCTCGTTCCAATAGAAACTCGGGTCAGTCGGCGAAAACTAATTGTACAATAATCTATACCGTCTAGATAGATTTGAGAAAGATTCTACCATAATCTCCCTAAATCATTTCCAATGGAAAATATTTTTTCATTGGCGAAAGTGAATTTTCCATCTCCGGTTTTTCGTCCTTGGAAACTCTGCGTTCGAACGTCTCTCCAGGGTCTGAAAAATTTTTCCCACGATTCCGATTACCACGATCTTCAAGATTAGAGTCTTCTCTTTCGGACGACAGTCAAAGTTTTCGATCTACGATTTTATTTTTCTGATTTATCGCGGTCCGAAGCGACCAAGGTCGACGCTGCGGAAAATGAATTTTGACAGATTTTCGATTTTTATTCCAATTACTGTTAGCTAACTTTTTCTCGCTAATTTTTTTCCACGATTCAAGGGAAATTCGGAGGTCACACGACAGGATTCGAAGCATCGACAATAAGTTAATAGGCGTAGCACTAATTTCCTAGCACAGGGAAATTCACAGCAACCCGAAATTTGGCATTTCCGGGAGAAATTACTGTATTTCGTATCAACATACAGGAGTTCTGTTTTTGCGTGGACCGTCGTAAGGGGCGCGGGACGGATGCGAGAGGCCTAATCGATTTCCTTTCGTAACTTAATTTCTTTTCATTTCTAAGCCGGGAATCGATTTGGCCCACTTCCATGGTACTCGAAACTTCAACAGCATAATCGTGCGCGCCGCGTATACATAGACGACGATTATGTCTCTTCGACCTCTTTTTCAACGAACCAGACAGACATCTGCCATAAAGATATTGACGCCGTGGACGAGTGTTCGCATTGATAAGGCGCAGTTAGAAGAAGTTGCGATAGAAGAGGTGGTACAAGACGCGGGGAAAAATTTGTGGAGGCTGTAGAGAATTTCTAAGGCTCGCGTGAAAATTTTAGAAGCTGGAGAGAGGATGTGGAATACGTCAGAAAAATTTTACGGTCATGGGAAAAATTCTAGGATCATAGAAAAAGTGTAGATACGTGGACAAATTTTTGGCTCACAGACTACGGCGAAAACCGTGAAAATTGGATTTACTTCGCCGTGACACGACCGATAAATTCATCACCGGCCGGTTAACTTCGTGATCAATTATGAAGACGATCGGGCGTGTGCTATAGTGGTTTCTAGGTCAGATTATTTGATCGTGCAGATGCTAGTCTATCAATCCACCCACGCAGAAATCGGACAGAATTGTTTCGGAAGGCTCTTTTTTTAGAATACCATTTTCTTAGGCCATCTTTGTGACTTCACGGAGTTCTGGGAAGTTGGACGATTTTTTGTGGCACTTAAAATTATGCGGATTTTGTAGAACGAAGTTTTCTCTTTCGAATGAGCCCAAAACTATCGAGCTGCGATTTTTTCTTGCCATTTTGCGGCGGTTCGAGTTCAAAGTTCGCCGCCAGCTCATGAAATCAAGGCTAAAGATTCGACAATATTCAAAGGTCTGTCACTTCGTCAAAAGAAATCGTAGGTAGGTGAGTTTTAGCTCATTTTAAAGTGCGTGAAATTTTCTTTCAAGATACGTAAGTTGTTTTGAATTAGGATTACTGTGTCGTTGATAGCCGCGACTTCAGTAACAATGTCCATTTTCTGGTCATTTCGCAACTTCACGGACCACTGGGGAGTTCAAAAATTTTTCAACCACTGAGACCATAAGCATCTTGAAGAGCAAAGTCTCCTCTTTCCAAAGAGTTGAAAAACGTCGACTCTTGATTTTTTGTCGCCATTTTGTGCCCGTTCGAATCGTAAGTCTTATTTGAGTGCTCATCGCTAAATGTACACCGTTTCGTGTATTTTCAAAGTTCTATAACTTCGTCGAAAAAAATCACAGAAACACCAACTTAGACTCGTTTTAAAGAGCGTGAATCGTACTTTCTATAGGATAAAATAATTTGATCCTACGACCATGATTTAAATAATCACCGGATTCTATAAGTTACATCTTCTTCTGGGCTCCTAAACAGTTTCGCCAAGATCCCGCGGGCGTCAAACGATCTAGATTGCGTTTATCGATTAAGACGGGCCTGGATAGGGAAATTGAAAGCTCATCCGAAGCGATCCGAAGTTCCGAAGCGATCTAATCGTGTGGTACTCACGTTGCCCTCGATGGTGTTCGTGTAAACTTTCCCATGTAGCCGCAGCATTTCCGGTGTCAGGCAGGTCGTGTAGTTCGCCCATCCGTGCGGCGAGTCCTCGGCGCTGGTCCCATTCTGGCCCTCCCAGCGACCGTTGTAACCGCACTTCTTCTCCACGGATTCTGTACAAACAACGAGCACGGGTCAACCCTCGAGTCCTATGCACCGTGTACAACGGTTCACGGAGAGCTGGATCGATCTAGTTGAGGACAGGTCTCGAACACCTCGCTAGACAAATTGCGTCCTGAATTCCGCTATAAATTTCGAGACTCGTCGCCGAAATGCAGTATAACTATCCTAACTGACGTGGAAATACAGTAAATTGTCCCTAATCGACGCTCGGTGTGGAAACAAAAATGGACAATTCGGGAAGAGCAGATACGATTATTCCAGCCTTGCTGCTGTAGATGTTGCACGATTCCCGTGTGCTGTGTCTTTGAAAAATTTTTTCGACGAGAATGAATTATACACGGAGAAAATAGAGATTTCAGGCTTTAAAATGAGCCTAGTTTCGTTGTTCTACGATTTTTTTGCACGAAGTTACAGCTGTTCGAATATCTTTAATTTTTCGGAAATTCGAAATTTCGTGTAAAATCTGGAACGAGATTTTCCCATCCGCTGTGTCGCAAATAAATTTTATTAAAGAAATTGATGGACGGTCTCCGAAAGTAGACGCTTCGGGCTTTAAAATGAGCGAAGTTCCATCGTTGTATAATTTTTTTGCACAAAGTTACAGCTGCTTGAATATCGACAATTTTTTCGAAAATTTGTAACTTCGACGAAAGTAGGAAATGGCTCGTTTTTATTGTTACCGATTGTCAACAATTGGTAATCCTCTTCCCAAATTGTCCATTTTTGCACTTTTAAAAATAAAATATATCATTTTATCGAAATAATGCACTTTTGAAAATGATAATCGTTCGAATGTTATTTTATTCGAGAAACGCTGAAAATATTCGTGGCATGGTTCGGAATATTTTGTTTATTTCATTTATTATCGTCGAACAAAAAAAAACATGTATTTCATGTTCAATCGGCTCTGTATTATACTCTGAATTCTCCGGTTTATCGCAATCGAATATTTTATTCATTGACATTTTTATGTGAAATGCTATTTTAGAAATCTATTATTTAAAACAGTATTTCGAATATTTTCTCTGAAATTGTTACCGAGATCTGATAATGTGCCAGCTACAGTGTGCATTAAACGATAATACGATCAACACTCGGCGTCGAATCGTGAATTTCGTGACCGCTTCAAACAATTTATTTTTGTAAACAGGTACCGGCACTATTTTGTTTAACAGTGTATTTAACCGAGTGTTTACGTCATCTGCAATTTATATGGAAATTCTGATCCAGAGGTGTCGGTTCGCGATTTGCGAATTGCGTTTCTCTTACTGATTTTTCAATATTGAAAATATTATTAAAAAAATATTGTAACATTAAAATATAAGAAAAAAAACGAAATGTATTGAATTCGTTATGATACCGTAGGATGTAGGGCTGTAAGCACGAAAATACCGAACGTGGACCTAAATTTTGCAGGCCATTTTGAAATATATATCTTCGAGAAAATCGCATAAAAAATCCTGACCACTGATAGCGTTATGAATCGGCCGCAATTTTCTTCACTTTAAATAAATGAAAAAAAAATGAAAGTGAAAATAAAAACCTCGATTTCTTCAAATAGACACGCTAGAATACCATCTTAAATGCTGTTTGAAAACGTAACCGCACCGAGACACGTGTGATTTCCAAAGCGGCGCCCACGATTTCGAATGAAACAGGATACATTTATCGTTCAATATTTGAGATAACGTTCTATCGATTGCTGAACATCCGCGACGTATTATTTCCCGTCGCTCGAGGTTTCAAAATATCGTTTCCGCACGTCGAACTGCAAACAGGGCTCTCTTGAAACCGTGTTCTCTTATTTCTTTCACGTGTCGCCGCCGTTCGGTCAGGCACGGACGACGGAGGACACCGTCGATTACCATAAAATCGATTAACAAGGTAAACAGGAATTAATGAATTCAATTCGAGATTTCCGTTTTACATTATCGTTATGTAAATCGGTGTTTGGTTTTGCCCGCCGGCCCGGTTTTTCGTTCCGCCGGAAACCGGGAAATTCTGTATTCCGGAATTTACCGATGCAGAGTTCTTCGAATTGGACAAACACGTTCGCAAGAGAAGCACACCGGTAATTAATGTTTGCGCGAGACAGTTGTCCCGGCGGCTTCTCGTTTGTCGAACATAAACCAGGCAAAGATTAACGACACTTTTTTTCATCACGCCTCCGTGTATTTTCACGTCGTTTTTCACTCTTCGAAATTATACTTGGATAAAGTTTTACTTGACTTAAGTTACACTTGAATCAAATGCATACTCAAATTAACTCAACTCATTCTTAAATCTAATTGTACTTGGCTTAAGTGGTGCATCATTCAAGTCGTACACAATGTAATAATTGAATAAAGTTGTACTTGACTCAAGTATAATGCAACTCATACTTGACTCAAGCTTTAACTAAAGCAACTCATACTTGACTCAAGTTGTAACTAAAGTAACTCATACTTGACTTAAGCTACAACTAAAGTAACTCATACTTTACTCAAGTCATGCTTGGATAAATTTGTACTTGACTCAAGTTACACTTAAATTAAGTCGATACTTGAATTAAGTCAATATCTAAATTAACTCAACTCATATTTAAATCTATCTGTACTTGGATTAAGTAGTGCTTCCCTTATGTAAGTCGTAGAAAGTAGTAGCTGCATCAAGTTGTACTTGATTCAAGCTACAATTAAAGTAACTCGTACTTGACTCAAGTTATACTTGAATCGATTCGTATTTGATTCAAATTATGCTTAAAGAAAGCCACGCCAGATCAAAGGTTACAATTAAATGAGTCTATGCCTGATTCAACACCTATCTAGACCAAATCATACTTGATTTACTGACGTAAGTTAGTAACCGTTACTAACCTAACTCACGCCATAACTGAATTCAAGTTACGCTTAAGACAAGCCGCTCTTGGCTCCAGATATATCTAAAAAATTGTCCACATTCAAGCTATTGTATCTCCGCGAAAAAAATCGTACAATACTCCGCCGTGGTTCATTTCACAGGCTGAAGTCTCTACTTTAACTTGCTCGTCTTGTCTTTTTTTCTCTAGAAAGGCTTTGATGCCGGAAAGCTGATGAAAAAGTGGAGATGATTCTTTTTCCCTGACGACACAGTTTTCATTGAAAGCGCAACAATGCGGCGCACAGTGCAACATTAGATACAAAAAGCAGGCCAAAACACGATTTTTCACATCTTTTACCGTTTTCAATCGTTGTTAATACTTTGCGATTGTTTTCAATATTTCGTAATGGCTTTTGATATTTCGAAATGGTTTTCCATATTTTTTACGATGGTTTCTAATATTTTGCAATAGTTTTCAATACTTTTCAATAGCGCCACATAGTTTTTCACCAGCTCTAAGCTGTTTCTGATTGTCCCCAGTTTCTTTTACGTGCATACATAATTGTTACGTGTAAATAATTACACAGCATTCGTGCAACGCAAACAATAACAACATTCGTCTCCCAGCGCTTGAAATAATTCCCACAATGTTCATATACAATAAATAAATAAATAGCCACGTTTTGACTCGATTAAACAATAAAATAATATTTTTAATATTCTATTAATCATTTCTAGTTGTTCATAATTACTTGTTCCACATTAAGGTGTTACAAATAAATTAGTAAATAAATTTTCGACGCGTTATGTCAGCCGGTGAAATAATTTCGGCCAGCGAAATCTGACCGAGTCTTCTCGGCTCGTTCAACCCTCGATTGTGTACGCGAAGCTACCCCTAGTGTCTGGATATTTTCGGCCGGGGATGTAGACTGTGGAAACAATGGTGATTCCGAGGCGAGCACCGAAAGAATTTCATTTCGCAGCAGTGTTATCGGAGATCCGCAATAAAGAGGGACCATGAATATTCCGTTGGAAAAAGGACGAAGTGGAAAAGCTGCTCAAAGAGAAGCGTATCCGGCCCGCCTTCTTTAAAGCCTTTCCTTAAAGACTGCAGCTTCAGAATGGCGGCGCTGGCTTCCCTTTTTCGCGGTCGTAGTTTCGAGACGGCCACAAAGCCGGCCACGACAAAGCGCCCGCTATTGATCTGATCTTTTCGACTGGCCGGTTGTAATTAGCGGGCGAAAATGTTCATCGAAAATTCCCTCCTTGGCCGGCCGGGTAACTCCTGCTCCCTCTCGTTCCAGTCTCGTTCCTCTTATTCGGAAAATCAAACGAATTAACAATAGAAGCACCTCGGACAAAGAAGCAAACCGTACGAATTGAAATCGGCCGATAAAAAAAGAAAACGTGGAAGTAGGTCGAACGCGGAGAGGAAATTATAATTGCGTTTGCTTCAATTTAACATCGAGCGGCGCATTAACGGGCAAAAATATGTCAGCGAAGAAATACGAATATTTGCGAACACTGTTCCACCACCGATCGTGTAGACGCATGCTTCCTTTCGCATAGCAATTTATTTCCGTATGGGATACTTCGTTGATTTTACAAATGTATATAATAAGAATTTTAAAATATATATTTTTTACAAATGTGTAATAAGAATTTGAAATGTATAATTTGCCATGCGAACCTGATGTACTTGAATGAAATAAATACGTTCTTTGTTCTCCGTGAAATGAATCATTTATAATATTATTACCATGGAATTTCTCAGTTTCGTGTGTGGCATGACGTTTGTGTTTGTATTTAATCTAATTGGATGTAATTTAATTGAATTGTAATTCAATTTGTGTGATTTCATTTCATTTAATTTAATCTCATTTCATTCATTATTTGAAAGAAATATAAGAAGCTTATTTTTCGAAATATTACGTGTTTACACTATTTCCACGGATTTAGCTTCTCTGATAAATATTAATCGTAAGAAAAATGGAATTTCAAACGATTAAAAGAAATTTAGACACGCGGGAAATGCTACTTCTTTATAGCACGACATAAATAATTATTCTCGGTACATGTACATGTCTCTATGACGTCGATTAAATCTCGAAACATTATTTCATCGAAACAAGAGTATTTCTATAACAATTTC